CTATAAGGAGTTTGGTCTCATCAGAATTTTAGTCTGAGCACGGGTTGCTCTTTGGAATGCGAGCCCCCTGTTTCATACTTCAGGACAGGTCCTTCTTGCCCTCTTGGGCAGCCAGTCAGAGTCGCTTCTTTCCGCTTGCGAAGTCGTACTTTGAAACTTGTACTTAATCGAGTTTGATAGGCATTTTTCGTAGGAACATCAACCTATCTCAGTGGACCCGTTGCTTTTGTTTGTAGGGTTATGATACTCTCGTAGGAGACAAAGGAACTCTCATTTCAGGGGGGCAGAAACAGAGAATAGCCATTGCTAGAGCTCTGGTCCGCAATCCACAGATCCTACTTCTTGATGAAGCTACTTCTGCTTTGGATACAGAGAGTGAAAAGGTAAGAGCCAAGACCGTTTACGGTTTCTATCTGTCTACAGGCAATGAGTTCATCTCTCTGTAACACGGATCTGTTTGGGTCCAGAGTGTCCGTCTTAGAGGGGTGTCCGTCGTAAGGCTGGTTTCCAACGGAGGCAGACGCAGCAAGAGATCGACGGCCGATGCTCCGCCATTAGCAACTGCACTGCACTGCACGGCATTGTATTGTTCATTACAGAACGTTCGGTGCGTTACTGTGTTCGTAATGTGGTACTGTGCTCGTGATATGATTATACAATTAACAGGTTTTGCTTTCCACAAAACAGGTTGTCCAACAAGCACTGGACGCAGCAAGTGAGGGTCGCACAGCTATCATCATTGCTCATCGGCTATCCACCGTCCAAAATGCTGACGTCATAGCTGTCATTCATCACGGGCGTGTGATGGAGCAAGGCACGCACCAGGAACTGTTGGGCCGTAAAGGAATTTATCATGGCCTTGTTACATCGCAGATGCAAACCGTCAATAATTAATTCAAAGATTATATCCACCACTGTAGTTGGTGAAGTTGTTTTCTAAAAAGTTCGTTTTCATTTCGTTTTATTCCTTGTGGTTTTATGTGAATTAAGTCAGATGTGGCCCGGCCATCTAAGAGTCAGCCACGCTATTTAGATGACTCGTGCAATACTTCGATAATCCATCCTAACCTTAGTAAAAACGACGATAAATATCGATCCTTTCTCTACACTAGCAAGGTCTTTGATGAGAGTAAATGAGCTCCGAGTATTATTTTGATATCAAATTAGTTTTTGAACCTCGTGACTCCAGAATAGTAAAACTTAATAAAATTATTGCTTTGGAAAATTTTCCATTTCTGACTTTTAGTTGCTCGCCAGTTTTAAGATTTGATTTTATTTTATTCTCTGGTAGAGACAGTGCTCGAACTTAACTTTTAGCTCTGGTCTTCCACTGGACCAGTAGGCTAAGAATTTACTGGTCCCAGGAGCAAAGTTACTGGTCACCCTTTACATTTTTTTTTGCACGTATTTAATTTGTGTGTGTAGGTAAAAACATGTAAATGCCACACTATGATCAAATAAACACAACAATTTACATGTATCTTTTTAGTGATACATAGCAACAATGATAAGTGTATTACAATTATAATTCTTCCCAGTTACAGGCCATAGTTGCAACATAAATAGAATAGCAGCAGTTTTATCAACTTCATTGCTGTCTTAGGCTTAAGTTAGGTCATCAATCCTTTAAGCAAGGCCTTCGCATTCTTTGTGATGCCTGGTTCCAATGCAAAATTGCCCTTTCAGCTGTAAAGTCCTCGGGACTTGAACCATTGAGGCAGATGTTCATGAGCATGTCAACAGTTTCAACATCAAGTGAGTTTCGATACTCTGATTTGAGTCGCCCCATACAAGAGAATCCCCTTTCACAGCAAGATGAGGACACTGCCATTGCCAGACAAATCTCAACCACCATCAACATGTGAGAGAGTTCAAGTTCATCTGGATGCACCTGATTGAACACTTCTACCCAGAACTCAGCCTGACTTAAGTTTGCAATGCGTTTGTGGTCATAACAGTACAGTTTTAGAGATAGCCACTGATCCTTTGATACTTCCAAGTCGAAAGCATTGCTTCTGAGGACTGCCTGAAAGTGCTGAGCCACAGTAACCAATTCTTCTTCTCCATACAAACCTAGATCATTTCTCTCCTTTGGCCAAGACTTATTGTTAGTGATAACACCGCAAGCTTTTAGTACTGGGGAAGTGAAGTCTTCAAATCTTGAGGCTAGAAATTGCTTAGCATCAGTGATGATTGATGCTTTACTTTGCTCAAACAATCTGTCATCTGTGTTGTTCCTTGTAAGACTGACCCCCTTGAACACTGTTCCAGCTCCTACTTCTTCTTGAAAGGCAGCAAGATGTTTCCCAGGTCGTCTTCGCATGTTCTCTAAGGCTTGACTAGCTCGCTCAATCTCAGCCTTCACTTGCGAAATAGAGATAGAATCCTTCTGAAAAATAAGTGAGATCTTTGACACTTCCTCTAGAATGTCCCACATTAAATGAAGGTGAAGCTGGAATTTGTAAGCCTTGAGCTTCTTTGACAAGTTCCTACCCCGTCCTTGCATTTCTGCTGAAGAATCTCTAGCTTCTGCCGTGTGCTCAAAGTGAGAAACAATTGCTTGAAAGTTTTTTTGAAGTAGAACAGTTAAAGCACGGAGCAAATGAGGCACCCAACGAGTTCCACTGGCCTTTGTTGGTTTTCCCACTTTTATTTCCATTGCCTCTGCCATTTCTCTCAGTTCTCTTAAAGCCTTTGGGGAATACTTATAGTGTTTCCAGCAGCCATTTAAAAGTTCCTTGATGCTCATCATTGTTTCATTGCACTTCAAAGTGTCACTAAATGCAAGTTCTAAATTGTGTGCTACACAATGAATTGGAATAACTTGAGGTGCTTGTTGTTTAATTAATGAAACCACACCACCAATCCTGCCCATCATAACTGATGCACCGTCTGTGCCAGTGCTGATCAGTTTTGCATCCACTGAGGGTCGATCTTATCCATAACCGACTTGATTGCCTTTAGAATTCCTGGTGCCTTTGCACTTTCAACCTCAGCCAGCTCAACATAGCACGTTTTGGAGCCCCACCTGATACAAATCTCACATACACTATTTCTTCTTCCAAACATGACACATCTGTTGCTCCATCTGCCATTATAGATATAAACTTAGCAGTGCTTAAAGAATCTATGAGATCTGCCCTCAAGGTATCAGATATATGTTTACAAAACTCTTTACAAGCATGATCATTCATGTACGTGTTTCCGAGGTTTAAGCCATTCTTTTTTTGCAATGAAACACAACTGTGAGAATATAGAAAATGGAAGTTTCAAATAAGCTATATAATATGCTGTATTAAAAGATACTCCATTTTCTTCAATGTTTCTTCATCAAGTCTGCTCAATGCAGCAGGCAAAGGTCTTTGCTCTCTTGGACGCTCGCTTGCACGTTTAGCTGCTAAACTCATAGCGTGTCCTTCACTGGCCTCGTGAGCCTTTAAGCTGTCAGTTTGAAAGTTATTTGTTCCGACCCTCAAGGAATAATGTGTGTTTTTCCCATTTGGAAATTCCTGCAAAACTCGCAAAACATTTTGTTTTCTTTCTCATCAAAGTGGAGCCATCTGTACTTTTCTATCCACGATTCCTGAAACTTCCGTGTTTTCTTTATCGGAGTTGCAGCAGGCGGTGCTGGTGTTGTGTTGCTTTCTTGATTTTGCTTTCCTCCGAAGAAAGAACTCAGTGAGCATTGAACTTTTTTTTTCGTTTGGACATTTCAAGAAGTTGTGTTTTGAAAGAAAATAGAGATTCAATCAACATCGATCATTTGGCAAACGCGGGAAGCCGCCATATTGAATCCCACAATCCATTTAATCTCAGCGTAGAACCCAGACTCTTACCTGCCAGGCCAGAAACGCCTAGCGATTTTTGCTCGACGTTTTCGAAGCATTCGCTTTCAGAAATTCTTTATCTGCTTTGACACTTTTAGCCCCTTTCAGCAAGATACAAAAGCAATTATTTATCGGGGTACTGTAACTTTACTCGTCCACAGGACTAGTGGCAAAAAAACCTACTCGTTTTGGGCAATTTTTACTCGTTTTGGACGAGTGGACGACCGTTAAGTTCGAGCACTGAGAGAGTTATTCTAATGATTACTTGATAATCAATTAGGTGCTGAACATTACTATATAACAGTTTTTTTCATAGTTTTTCCCAGAATATATGGAAGTAGGAGCTACTAGATCTATTTATCAGGCGTTCATCGTTTGAGTTTCAACTTATACAGAGAAGGAGAAGGAAACACTGAATAAATATACGGCTAAGTAAGCATCATTCTTTTCTGAACTTTGTCAGGCAAAATGCGACGTGGTATACTGCGTTTCTAATGTTTTTTTATCCTAGAAAAATCACTTAAAAGTGATTTTCTCGTCATTTTAATTTTACAGTTTTCGCTAACTTGGCGGCCGCTTGAGAAGAGTATGACGGCACATCCATATAATATGACGTCATAAACTCCCCTGACGTCTCCGGAAGGTTTGTGCCGTTTTTTTTTTTCTGTAAGCTGTGGGAGTGATGTTCGATGGTGTAAGACCCGTGCGCACGGAAGCAAAATTGTTGGACAACAATTCCCAACATATCTTTCCCGTGCAAATGGACGCAACATTGTTGGCCAACAACTCTCAACATATCTTTTGTTTCATGGTCGCCGAAGCGTAGCCCAACAATTTTTGATCCGTTTGCAGTTTTTGATCCAACATTTTTTGGGCCATGCACGCATGCGCCTTACACATGGTCTTCAATAATTGCATCTTTTAAACGATGCACTGCAGGTCCCAACATTGTTGGGACTTTTGCATCCGTCGGCGCACTATTGCCAGCATTTAGCTTAACTACTCTTTTTCTTCAAAGTATGTTTTGGCCTCTTACTGTAAGTTGCATCGCAGCCTTTTCACATTCACGAAGACTAGGTCTGGTTCAAAATTTATTACACTGACAAAACTAAATATCGACTCACTGTTTGAACTTAATGTAAACAAAGTTATTCATATAATAAAGCAATTAATATTTGTAAATAATTCTTGATATTCTTGTTCAGATAAAGTATAATCGTACGTGTGATTTCGCGAAATTCAGTCAGCACCAATGCATTCTATACTATATTGATCCAGTAGCCGGTTAGTTGAAAAGAGGCAGCTGTCATTGGATTAAACCTTTCATCAACATTGTAAGCATACCACATGTCTTATTTATGTTGTTTTAACCTTTAGTAGCTTGGTAAGTTTCCATGAAGAACGTGTAACACGATCATATTTTTTTTGTTTTTTAAATCAGTCTACTGCGGTGTAACAGCTGTATTTCAATGTACTAGACTGCGAGTAGATCCCTATTTTTCCAGTACAATGTTGTAGAGTAACTAGCTCATCATTCACCCCTCTAGCTTAAAATGTTGATCTAAAAACTGGCGTAGCTATTGTGAAACACTATAAATAAAGATTTCGTTTTCTATTAAAAGAGTTATTACAAGGATAACGCGTTTTGTTGTTAACATATTCTTAAGGTTATCTTAACCGTAACTTTTCCACCACCTATGTATAAACTGGGATAAAGCGGTAGCCATAACAACTTTGGAATGTACACAAATTGACCTAAAGCCCTAAAGCTGATTTATACAGCAAAAACATTTCGATATCCCTTGGTTTTGATTGAAAACAGCGTTGCGGGGTTGTGACTAACTTTATTTCCCACTGTTAACATCTTTCAGTATCCTAAAGAGGAGTCCAACTGTGTTGAACTGTACTGGAGAAAGTAATTCAGATCCTGGTCGCCGTTTATAATGGCAGTAATGCTATTATCGTTTACATTGGCTTGTGTGTTATTTTATTGTTCTGTGGGTAAGTGATACACCTGAACTTGCACTTCGACTGAATACAAAATAATCTCTAAGATATTAACATTGAAAAAGAAAATCAATCGTCGATAGTTTGTAGTTTATTATGCTTTAAATGATATCGATAATTTGATTTTGCCAATTGAAGGTAGCAATCTTAACTTCTTGTTTAGTTAGGATTCAGACCTGTACATAAAATACGTTTTTCCCAGTTAATAGAGCAATTAATTTATTACTTTCAACTAGTTAAACATAGGCACGTTAATCGTGCATGAGCTATTTTGAATGCTTCAGTGTAACTTTAATGCTTCAGTGTAACCTTACCAAGAGTGATGAATCTACCTTTTTCGTCCTAAATGTAGACTGGGTTTTTGTGCGAAATTCTGTATTGCCGTATATAACTGAAAACGCGAAACGCTCAGATGCGTCGATCCTCATGCTATATATTCACTTTCCCCTGCCTTTCCCTGTTACATTTGGTGCAAGTTAAACAGATTATTAAAGTAAAATAAATATCTACTCAGCAAACGTTGATTAGAAGGAAAACTCTAAGGTTTCCTCGGAGTTTCTAAAGCCAAAATGTCACTCATCGAATTCGAGTAATTAAGAACTACCAGGATTCTTATCATTGTGGTAGATGGTTGCATCATCACAATTCACGAAACAGTCCTTAACTCCAACAACTTATTTCTCCAAGTTTTAAAAGCTATTGCTTCTTAAAAGACAAGAGCATCGTTTAAGGCATTGGTTACAAAACGAAACAGGTCTTCATACGTTGAAGTTACTATTATTATTGTGAAAAGCCAATCTGCATGAGATGTACAGTCACACAACTGGCACGTGAAAGTGTTGGACTTTGCCCCCTTTCGTTGTTCGTACGTGAGGGAATTCGAGTTATCACACGGTAATCTAGTAAACAGAATTATAGAAATAACTCATGCACACAATTTGCACGTGGAGATGTTGGTCTTTGGCCCTTTTACAATTCGTACGTAAAAAAGCGCAAATTGTTTCGTACAAAATTTTCTCGACGATTTTAAGAAATCACCACGGCTTCATTACAACATCTGCAATTAAATTATGTTTCATGCGATGTCAAGGTTGATAGCCTAACATTTATTAACTTCCAAGAAAAATTATCAAACTGCCGAAATATATTTCTGCTCATCATGTTACTCCACTCAATAAAACAGTATCTAATTATTGTGTCAACTAGCTTCTTCCAATTGTATTCCCTTACGCTATTGTTTCTACTTAAGTTACTCATCTTAACTAAATAAAATACTTTTCAATAACTACAATGCTTAGTATACAGGAAGGATGTATCATGTTGTTCACTTATTATTATTTTTTTGTTTTGCCGGAACGAAAAAAACAAGTCTGTTGAACTTTGTTAGCGAGAGAATAATACTTTTAAAGCTTGTTTACAGAATTAACAATATTCGGTACAGCTTTTAAAAAAAATAAGCTGCCTTTCAAACTTGTAAAACCACATTTTATAGGCCGCATACTTTCAAATTAAAGTCCATATCTAAATATCGATTCTTGCTTCACTGGAAGAGCTTTGAAAATATATGATCTTTTATACTCTACCTTAAAGCAGGTGAAACACAACTCATAAATACGTGCGTTGTACCGTTCGCGATAGCCGAATCGGTCACAAAAGTCTTGAAGCAGCATCCACACTCAAATATGAACCCTTAAACAGCTGCATCACTGTTCACAGCGTTTGAATCATGAAGATATTTTATGTAATGCTTCCAAACACCTGTACCCGTAATAAAAGACGAAAAAATTGTGAAGGATCAAGATGGCGGTCTCAAAGTGCCCTTGTTCGACCTTTACCAATGCCATGTTTAAATAGATGCCAAGATCTCATTGGTTCCTAAGCATCAACTCATAGTACCTTCAACCTTATTGGCTCTTGCAACAAATATCCCAACATAAAAAGCCCCAAAGATACATACGCTCAAACCACTGACATATAAGCTGTTTTTTCAAAATAGCTAAAAAAGTTGGAATAATGTCAATTTTTTGACTTTTTAAACATCTTGCTTTTATAGCCTAGAAAGGCTCTTTTACGTTCTAGAATATCGTAAAAGACATTTTCCTGGCCTATATTACCTTAAAAATAAAAAGTTGGAAAATTGGCCATTTATAGACCAAAACCATGGGTTAAAATGTCAATTTTTCGACTTTTTGAACTTCTTGTTTTTATAGCCTAGAAAGGCGTTTTTTCGTTCTACAATATCATAAAAGACATTTTCGTGGCCCTTATTGCCTAAAAAAAAAAAACTTGAAAAAATGGCCATTTTTGGACCAAAACCATGGGTTAACCCCTTTGGAAAAAATGTCAATTTTTGGACTTTTTGAACTTCTTGTTTTAATAGCCTAGAAAGGCGTTTTTTCGTTCTAAAATATCGTAAAAGACATTTTCCTGGGCTATATTGCCTAAAAAAAAAAGTTGGAAAAATGGCCATTTTTTCGACTTTTTGAAGTTCATGTTTTTATAGCCTAGAAAAGCGTTTTTTCGTTCTAGAATATCATAAAAGACATTTTTCTGGCCCTTTTTGCCTAAAAAAAAAATATTGAAAAAATGGCCACTTTTAGACAAAAACCATGAGTTAACCCCTCTGGAAAAATGTCAATGTTTGGACTTTTTGGACTTCTTGTTTTTATAGCCTAGAAAGGCGTTTTTTCGTTCTAAAATATCATAAAAGACATTTTCCAGGCCTAAATTGCCTAAAAAAAAGAAGTTGGAAAAATAGCCATTTTTCGACCAAAACCATGGGTTAACTCCTTTGGAAAAATGTCAATTTTTCGACTTTTTGAACTTTATGTTGGAAAAATGGCCATTTTTGGACCAAAACCATGGGTTAACCCCTTTGGAAAAATGTCAATTTTTCGACTTTGTAAACTTCTTGTTTTTATAGCCTAGAAAAGCGTTTTTTCGTTCTAAAATATCATAAAAGACATTTTCCTGGCGTATATTGCCTAAAAAAAATAAGGTGGACAAATAACCATTTTTGGACCAAAAAGCATGGGTTAACCCATTTGGAAAAATGTCAATTTTTCGACTTTTTGAACTTCTTGTTTTTATTTCCTAGAAAGGCGTTTTTTCGTTCTAGAATATCATAAAAGACATTTTCCTGGGCTACATTGCCTAGCAAAAAAAAGTTGGAAAAAAGGCCATTTTTGAACCAAAACCATGGGGTAACCCCTTAGGAAAAATGGCAATTTTTCGACTTTTTAACTTCTTGTCTTTATAGCCTAGAAAAGCGTTTTTTCGTTCTAGAATATATTAAAAGACATTTTCCTGGAATATATTGCCTTAAAAAAAAAAGCTGGAAAAATGGCCATTTTTCGACCAAAACCATGGGTTAACCCCTCTGAAAAAATGTCAATTTTTCGACATTTTCAAGTTAATGTTTTTATAGCCTAAAAAGTCGTTTTTTCGTTCTAGAATATCATAAAACACATTTTCCTGGCGTATATTGCCAAGCAAGGCGATTTTTCGTTCTAGAATGTCGTAAGAGAAATTTTTCCTGGCCTATATTGCCTAAAAAAAAAAAGCTGGAAAAAGGGCCATTTTAATACCAAAATCACGGGTTAACCCCTTTGGAAAAATATCAACTTTTCGACTTTTTGAACTTTATGTTTTTATAGCCTAGAAAAGCGATTTTTCGTTGTAGAATATCATAAAAGTCATTTTCCTGGGCTAAACTGCCTAGAAAAAAAAAGTCGGAAAAGTGGCCATTTTTGAACCAAAACCATGGGTTAACCCCTTTGGAAAAATGGCAATTTTTCGACTTTTTTAACTTCTTGTCTTTATAGGCTAAAAAAGCGTTTTTTCGTTCTAGAATATATTAAAAGACATTTTCCTCGCCTATATTGCCTAAAAAAAAGAGTTGGAAAAATGGCCATTTTTTGACCAAAACCATGGGTTAACTCCTTTGGAAAAATGGCAACTTTTCGACTTTTTGAACTTCTTGTTTTTATAGCCTAGACAGGCGTTTTTTCGCTGTAGAATATCATAAAAGACATTTTCCTGGCCTATATTGCCTAAAAAAAAAATTGAAATAATGGCCATTTTTGAAAAAAAACCATGGGTTAACCTTTTTGGAAAAATGTCAATTTTTCGACTTTTTGAACTTGTTGTTTTTATAGCCTAGAAAAGCGTTTTTTCGTTCTAGAATATCATAAAAAACATTTTCCTGGCCTATATTGCCCCCCCCCAAAAAGTTGGAAAAATGGCCATTTTTGGACCAAAACCACGGGTTAACCCCTTTGGAAAAATGTCAATTTTTTGACTTTTTGAACGTCATGTTTTTATAGCCTAGCAAGGCGATTTTTCGTTCTAGAATATCATAAGAGACATTTTCCTGGCCTATATTGCCTAAAAAAAAAAGTTGGAAAAAGGGCCATTTTTATACCAAAATCACGGGTTAACCCCTTTGAAAAAATATCAATTTTTTGACTTTTTGAACTTTATGTTTTTATAGCCTAGAAAGGCGTTTATTTCATTCTAGAATATCATGAAAGACATTTTCCTGGCTTATATTGCCTAAAAAAAAAAGTTGGAAAAATGGCTATTTTTGGACCAAAACAATGGGTTAACCCCTTTCAAAAAATGTCAATTTTTCGGCTTTTTGAACTTCTTGTTTTTATAGGCTAGAAAGGCGTTTTTTGTTTTAGAATATCATCATAAAAGAAATTTTCCTGGCCTATATTGCCTAAAAAAAAAACTTGAAAAAATGGCCATTTTTGGACCAAAACCATGGGTTAACCCATTTGGAAAAATGTCAATTTTTCGACTTTTTGAACTTCTGGTTTTTATAGGCTAGAAAGGCGTTTTTTTGTTTTAGAACATCATCATAAAAGAAATTTTCCTGGCCTATATTGCCTAAAACAAAAGTTTGAAAAATGGCCATTTTTGGACCAAAACCATGGGTTAACCTATTTGGAAAAATGTCAGTTTTTCGACTTTTTAAACTTCTTGTTTTTACCCGCTAGAAAGACGTTTTTTCGGTCTAGAATATCATAAAAGACATTTTCCTGGCCTATATTGCCTACAAAGAAAAAGATGGAAAAATGGCCATTTTTCGACCAAAACCATGGGTTAACCCCTCTGAAAAAATGGCAACTTTTCGACTTTTTGAACTTTATGTTTTTATAGCCTAGAAAAGCGATTTTTCGTTCTAGAATATCATAAAAGACATTTTCCTGGGCTAAACTGCCTAGAAAAAAAAAGTTGGAAAAATGGCCTTTTTGAACCAAAACCATGGGTTAACCCCTTTGGAAAAATGGCAATTTTTCGACTTTTTTAACTTCTTCTCTTTATAGACTAGAAAAGCGTTTTTTCGTTCTAGAATATATTAAAAGACAATTTCCTGGCCTATCTTGCCTAAAACAAAAACTTGAAAAAATGGCCCTTTTTGGACAAATCCATGGAAAAATGTCAATTTTTCGACTTTTTGAACTTCTTGTTTTTATAGCCTAGAAAGGCCTTTTTTCGTTCTAGAATATCATAAAAGACATTTTCCCTGCCTATATTGCCTTAAAAAAAAAAGTTGGAAAAATGGCCATTTTTCGACCAAAACAATGGGTTAAGCCCTCTGAAAAAATGTCAATTTTTCAACTTTTTGAACTTTATGTTTTTATATCCTAGAAAGTCGTTTTTTCGTTCTAGAATATCATTTAAGACATTTTCCTGGCCTATATTGCCTAACAAAAAAAAATTGGGAAAAATGGCCATTTTTGTACCTAAACAATGGGTTAACCCTTTTGCAAAAATGTCAATGTTTCGACTTTTTGAAGTTCTTGTTTTTATAGCCTAGAAAGGCGTTTTTCCGTTGAAGAATATCATAAAAGACATTTTCCTGGCGTACATTGCCGAAAAAAAAAAAGTTGGAAAAATGGCAATTTTTTGACCAAAACCATGGATTAACCCCTTTGGGAAAATGTCCATTTTCGACTTTTTGAACTTGATGTTAATATAGCCTAGAAAGGCGTTTTTTCGTTCTAGAATATCATAACAGACATTTTCCTGGCCTATATTGCCTAAAAAAAAAAGTTGGAAAAATGGCCATTTTTGGACCAAAATCATGGGTTAACCCCTTTGAAAAAATGTCAATTTTTCGACTTTTTGAACTTCTTGTTTTTATAGCCTAGAAGGCGTTTTTTCGTTCTAGAATATCATAAAAGACATTTTCCTGGCCTATATTGCCTAAAAAAAAAACCAGAAAAAAAAGCCATTTTTGGAAAAAAAACCATGGGTTAACTTTTTTGGAAAAACGTCAATTTTTAGACTTTTTGAAATTCTTGTTTTTATAGCCTAGAAAGGCGTTTTTTCGTTCTAGAATATCATAAAAAACATTTTCCTGGCCTATATTGCCCCCCCCCAAAAAAGTTGGAAAAATGGCCATTTTTGGACCAAAACCACGGGTTAACCCCTTTGGAAAAATGTCAATTTTTTGACTTGTTGAACGTCATGTTTTTATAGCCTAGCAAGGCGATTTTTCGTTCTAGAATATCATAAGAGACATTTTCCTGGCCTATATTGCCTAAAAACAAAAAGTTGGAAAAATGGCCATTTTTATACCAAAATCACGGGTTAGCCCCTTTGAAAAAATATCAATTTTTTGACTTTTTGAACTTTATGTTTTTATAGCCTAGAAAGGCGTTTATTTCATTCTAGAATATCATGAAAGACATTTTCCTGGCTTATATTGCCTAAAAAAAAAAGTTGGAAAAATGGCTATTTTTGGACCAAAACAATGGGTTAACCCCTTTCAAAAAATGTCAATTTTTCGGCTTTTTGAACTTCTTGTTTTTATAGGCTAGAAAGGCGTTTTTTTGTTTTAGAATATCATCATAAAAGAAATTTTCCTGGCCTATATTGCCTAAAAAAAAAACTTGAAAAAATGGCCATTTTTGGACCAAAACCATGGGTTAACCCATTTGGAAAAATGTCAATTTTTCGACTTTTTGAACTTCTGGTTTTTATAGGCTAGAAAGGCGTTTTTTTGTTTTAGAACATCATCATAAAAGAAATTTTCCTGGCCTATATTGCCTAAAACAAAAGTTTGAAAAATGGCCATTTTTGGACCAAAACCATGGGTTAACCTATTTGGAAAAATGTCAGTTTTTCGACTTTTTAAACTTCTTGTTTTTACCCGCTAGAAAGACGTTTTTTCGGTCTAGAATATCATAAAAGACATTTTCCTGGCCTATATTGCCTACAAAGAAAAAGATGGAAAAATGGCCATTTTTCGACCAAAACCATGGGTTAACCCCTCTGAAAAAATGGCAACTTTTCGACTTTTTGAACTTTATGTTTTTATAGCCTAGAAAAGCGATTTTTCGTTCTAGAATATCATAAAAGACATTTTCCTGGGCTAAACTGCCTAGAAAAAAAAAGTTGGAAAAATGGCCTTTATGAACCAAAACCATGGGTTAACCCCTTTGGAAAAATGGCAATTTTTCGACTTTTTTAACTTCTTCTCTTTATAGACTAGAAAAGCGTTTTTTCGTTCTAGAATATATTAAAAGACAATTTCCTGGCCTATATTGCCTAAAAAAAAAACTTGAAAAAATGGCCCTTTTTGGACAAATCCATGGGTTAACCTCTTTGGAAAAATGTCAATTTTTCGACTTTTTGAACTTCTTGTTTTTATAGCCTAGAAAGGCCTTTTTTCGTTCTAGAATATCATAAAAGACATTTTCCCTGCCTATATTGCCTTAAAAAAAAAAGTTGGAAAAATGGCCATTTTTCGACCAAAACAATGGGTTAAGCCCTCTGAAAAAATGTCAATTTTTCAACTTTTTGAACTTTATGTTTTTATATCCTAGAAAGTCGTTTTTTCGTTCTAGAATATCATTTAAGACATTTTCCTGGCCTATATTGCCTAACAAAAAAAAATTGGGAAAAATGGCCATTTTTGTACCTAAACAATGGGTTAACCCTTTTGCAAAAATGTCAATGTTTCGACTTTTTGAAGTTCTTGTTTTTATAGCCTAGAAAGGCGTTTTTTCGTTGAAGAATATCATAAAAGACATTTTCCTGGCGTACATTGCCGAAAAAAAAAAAGTTGGAAAAATGGCAATTTTTTGACCAAAACCATGGATTAACCCCTTTGGGAAAATGTCCATTTTCGACTTTTTGAACTTGATGTTAATATAGCCTAGAAAGGCGTTTTTTCGTTCTAGAATATCATAAGAGACATTTTCCTGGCCTATATTGCCTAAAAAAAAAAGTTGGAAAAATGGCCATTTTTGGACCAAAATCATGGGTTAACCCCTTTGAAAAAATGTCAATTTTTCGACTTTTTGAACTTCTTGTTTTTATAGCCTAAAAGGCGTTTTTTCGTTCTAGAATATCATAAAAGACATTTTTCTGGCCTATATTGCCTAAAAAAAAAACCAGAAAAAAAAGCCATTTTTGGAAAAAAAACCATGGGTTAACTTTTTTGGAAAAACGTCAATTTTTAGACTTTTTGAAATTCTTGTTTTTATAGCGTAGAAAGGCGTTTTTTCGTTGTAGAATATCAAAAAAGACATTTTCCTGGCGGATATTGACTAAAAAAGAAAACTTGGAAAAATGGCCATTTTTCGACCAAAACCATGGGTTAGCACCTTTCAAAAAACGTCAAGTTTTCGACTGTTTGAACTTTATGTTTTTATAGCCTAAAAAGGCGATTTTTCCTTGTGGAATATTATAAAAGACATTTTCCTGGCCTATATTGCCTAAAAACAAAAAGTTGGAAAAATGGCCAATTTTATACCAAAATCTCTTGTTAACCCCTTTGGAAAAAAGTCAATTTTTTGACTTTTTGAACTTTATGTTTTTATAGCCTAGCAATGCGATTTTTCGTTCTAGAATATCAAAAGAGAGATTTTCCTGGCCTATATTGCCTAAAAAAAAAAGTTGGAAAAATGGCCCTTTTTTGACGAAAGCCATGGGTTAACCCATTTGGAAAAATGCCAATTTTTCGACTTTTTAAACTTCTTGTTTTTATAACCTAGAAAGGCGTTTTCTCGTTATAGAAAATCATAAAAGACATTTTCCTGGCCTATATTGCGTAAAAAAAAAAGGTTGGAAAAATGGCCATTTTTGGACCTAAACCATGGGTTAACCCTTTCGCAAAAAGTTCAATTTTTCGACTTTTTGAAGTTCTTGTTTTTATAGCCTCTAAAACCGTTTTTGCGTTCTAGAATATCATAAAAGATATTTTCCTGGGCTATATTGCCTAAAAAAGAAAAGTTGGAAAAATGGCCATTTTTGGACTAAAACCATGGGTTAACACCTTTAGAAAAATGTCAATTTTTCGACTTTTTGAACTTCTTTTTTTTATAGGCTAGAAAGGCGTTTTTTCGTTCTAGAATATCATAAAAGACATTTTCCTGGCCTACATTGCCTAAAAAAAAAAAGTTGCAAAAATGGCCATTTTTCGACCAAAAACAAGGGTTGAGCCCTCTGAAAAAATGTCAATTTTTCGAGTTTTTGATCGTTATGTTTTTATAGCCTTGAAAGTCGTTTTTTCGGTCTAGAATATCATAAAAGAGATTTTCCTGGTCTATATTGCCTAAAAAAAAAGTTGGAAAAATGGCCATTTTTGGACCAAAATCATGGGTTAACCCCTTTGGAAAAATGTCAACTTTTCGACTTTTTGAAGTTCTTGTTTTTATAGGCCAGAAAGGCGTTTTTTCGTTGTAGAATATCATAAAAGACATTTTCCTGGCGTATATTGCCTAAAAAAAAAACTACAAAGAAAGGCCATTTTTGGACAAAAACCATGGGTTAACCTTTTTGGAAAAATGTTCATTCCTGGAATTTTGAAATTCTTGTTTTTATAGCCTAGAAAGGCGTTTTCTCGTTATAGAATATCATAAAACACATTTTCCTGGCCTATATTACGTAAAAAAAAAAGGTTGGAAAAATGGCCATTTTTGGACCTAAACCATGGGTTAACCCTTTCGCAAAAATGTCAATTTTTCGACTTTTTGAACTTCTTGTTTTTATAGCCTCTAAAACCGTTTTTGCGTTCTAAAATATCATAAAAGATATTTTCCTGGGCTATATTGCCTAAAAAAAAAAGTCTGAAAAACGGCCATTTTTGGACTAAAACCATGGGTTAACACCTTTAGAAAAATGTCAATTTTTCGACTTTTTGAACTTCTTTTTTTTATAGGCTAGAAAGGCGTTTTTTCGTTCTAGAATATCATAAAAGACATTTTCCTGGCCTACATTGCCTAAAAAAAAAAAGTTGGAAAAATAGCCATTTTTCGACCAAAACCATGGGTTGAGCCCTCTGAAAAAATGTCAATTTTTCGAGTTTTTGAACTTTATGTTTTTATAGCCTAGAAAGTCGTTTTTTCGTTCTAGAATATCATAAAAGACATTTTCCTGGTCTATATTGCCTAAAAAAAAAAGTTGGAAAAATGGCCATTTTGGACCAAAATCATGGGTTAACCCCTTTGGAAAAATGTCAACTTTTCGACTTTTTGAAGTTCTTGTTTTTATAGGCCAGAAAGGCGTTTTTTCGTTGTAGAATATCATAAAAGACATTTTCCTGGCCTATATTGCCTAAAAAAAAAACTACAAAGAAAGGCCATTTTTGGACAAAAACCATGGGTTAACCTTTTTGGAAAAATGTTCATTCCTGGAGTTTTTGAAATTCTTGTTTTTATAGCCTAGAAAGGCGTTTTTTCGTGGTAAAATATCATAAAAGACATTTTCCTGGCCTATATTGCCTAAAAAAAAAACTAGAAAGAAAGGCCATTTTTGGACAAAAACCATGGGTTAACCTTTTTGGAAAAAAGTTCATTCCTGGAGTTTTTGAAATTCTTGTTTCTGTAGCCTAGAAAGGCGTTTTTTCGTTGTAGAATATCATAAAAGACATTTTCCCGGCCTATATTGCCTAAAAAAAAAAAGTTGGAAAAATGGCCATTTCTCGAAAAAGACCATGGGTTAACTCCTTTGGAAAAACGTCCAGTTTCGACTTATTGGACTTTATGCTTTTATAGCCTAGAAAAAGGATTTTTCGTTGTAGAATATCATATAAGACATTTTCCTGGTCTATATTGCCGAAAAAAAAAAGTGGAAAAATGGCCATTTTTTGACCAAAACCATGGGTTAACCCCTTTGGAAAAATGTCAATTTTTCGACTTTTTGAACTTCTTGTTTTTATAGCCTAGAAAGGCGTTTTCTCGTTGTAGAATATCAAAAAAGACATTTTCCTGGCGTATATTGCCTAAAAAAAAAAAGTTGGAAAAATGGCCATTTTTCGACCAAAACCATGGGTTAGCCCCTTTCGAAAAATCTCAATTTTTCGACTGTTTGAACTTTATGTTTTTATAGCCTAGAAAGGCTATTTTTCGTTCTACAATATCACAAAAGACATTTTCCTGGCCTATATTTCCTAAAAAAAGAGGTTGAAAAATGGCCATTTTTCATACCAAAACGATGGGTTAACCCCTTTGGAAAAATTACAATTTTGTTTTTATAGCCTAGAAAAGCGTTTTTTCGTTCTAGAATATCATAAAAGACATTTTCCTGGCCTGTATTGCCCCCCCCCCAAAAAAGTTGCAAAAATGGCCATTATTCGACCAAAACCATGGACAAATGTCAATTTTGGACTTTTTGAATTTTATGTTTTTATAACCTAGAGAGGCGAGTTTTCGTTGTAGAATACCATAAAATACATTTTCCTGTCCTATATTGCCTAAAAAAAAAAGGTTGAAAAAATGGCCATTTTTGGACCTAAACCATGGTTAACCCTATTGCAAAAATGTCAATTTTTCGACTTTTTGAACTTCTTGTTTTTATAGCCTAGAGAAGCGTTTTTGCGTTCTAGAATATCATAAAAGACATTTTCCTGGGCTACATTGCCTTAAAATAAAAAGTTGGAAAAATGGCCATTTTTGGACCAAAACCATGGGTTAACTTTTTTGGAAAAACGTCAATTTTTAGACTTTTTGAAATTCTTGTTTTTATAGCCTAGAAAGGCGTTTTTTCGTTGTAGAATATCAAAAAAGACATTTTCCTGGCGGATATTGACTAAAAAAGAAAACTTGGAAAAATGGCCATTTTTCGACCAAAACCATGGGTTAGCACCTTTGAAAAAATGTCAATTTTTCGACTGTTTGAACTTTATGTTTTTATAGCCTAAAAAGGCGATTTTTCCTTGTGGAATATTATAAAAGACATTTTCCTGGCCTATATTGCCTAAAAAAAAAGTTGGCAAAATGGCCATTTTTATACCAAAATCTCTTGTTAACCCCTTTGGAAAAAAGTCAATTTTTTGACTTTTTGAACTTTATGTTTTTATAGCCTAGCAAGGCGATTTTTCGTTCTAGAATATCAAAAGAGACATTTTCCTGGCGTATATTGCCAAAAAAAAAAAGTTGGAAAAATGGCCATTTTTCGACCAAAACCATGGGTTAGCCCCTTTGGAAAAATTACAATTTTTCGACTTTTTAAACTTGTTTTTTTTATAGCCTAGAAAAGCGTTTTTTCGTTCTAGAATATCATAAAAGACATTTTCCTGGCCTGTATTGCCTAAAAAAAAAAGGTTGGAAAAATGGCCATTTTCGGACCTAAACCATACTTAACCCTGTTGCAAGAATGTAAATTTTTCGACTTTTTGAACCTCTTGTTTTTATAGCCTAGACAAGCGTTTTTGCGTTCTAGAATATCATTTAAGACATTTTCCTGGCCTATATTGCCTAACAAAAAAAAATTGGGAAAAATGGCCATTTTTGTACCTAAACAATGGGTTAACCCTTTTGCAAAAATGTCAATGTTTCGACTTTTTGAAGTTCTTGTTTTTATAGCCTAGAAAGGCGTTTTTTCGTTGAAGAATATCATAAAAGACATTTTCCTGGCGTACATTGCCGAAAAAAAAAAAAAGTTGGAAAAATGGCAATTTTTGACCAAAACCATGGATTAACCCCTTTGGGAAAATGTCCATTTTCGACTTTTTGAACTTGATGTTTTATAGCCTAGAAAGGCGTTTTTTTCGTTCTAGAATATCATAAGAGACATTTTCCTGGCCTATATTGCCTAAAAAAAAAGTTGGAAAAATGGCCATTTTGGACCAAAATCATGGGTTAACCCCTTTGAAAAAATGTCAATTTTTCGACTTTTTTAACTTCTTGTTTTTATAGCCTAAAAGGCGTTTTGTCGTTCTAGAATATCATAAAAGACATTTTTCTGGCCTATATTGCCTAAAAAAAAAACCAGAAAAAAAAGCCATTTTTGGAAAAAAAACCATGGGTTAACTTTTTTGGAAAAACGTCAATTTTTAGACTTTTTGAAATTCTTGTTTTTATAGCGTAGAAAGGCGTTTTTTCGTTGTAGAATATCAAAAAAGACATTTTCCTGGCGGATATTGACTAAAAAAGAAAACTTGGAAAAATGGCCATTTTTCGACCAAAACCATGGGTTAGCACCTTTCAAAAAACGTCAAGTTTTCGACTGTTTGAACTTTATGTTTTTATAGCCTAAAAAGGCGATTTTTCCTTGTGGAATATTATAAAAGACATTTTCCTGGCCTATATTGCCTAAAAACAAAAAGTTGGAAAAATGGCCAATTTTATACCAAAATCTCTTGTTAACCCCTTTGGAAAAAAGTCAATTTTTTGACTTTTTGAACTTTATGTTTTTATAGCCTAGCAATGCGTTTTTTTCGTTCTAGAATATCAAAAGAGATTTTCCTGGCCTATATTGCCTAAAAAAAAAAGTTGGAAAAATGGCCCTTTTTTGACGAAAGCCATGGGTTAACCCATTTGGAAAAATGCCAATTTTTCGACTTTTTAAACTTCTTGTTTTTATAACCTAGAAAGGCGTTTTCTCGTTATAGAAAATCATAAAAGACATTTTCCTGGCCTATATTGCGTAAAAAAAAAAGGTTGGAAAAATGGCCATTTTTGGACCTAAACCATGGGTTAACCCTTTCGCAAAAAGTTCAATTTTTCGACTTTTTGAAGTTCTTGTTTTTATAGCCTCTAAAACCGTTTTTGCGTTCTAGAATATCATAAAAGATATTTTCCTGGGCTATATTGCCTAAAAAAGAAAAGTTGGAAAAATGGCCATTTTTGGACTAAAACCATGGGTTAACACCTTTAGAAAAATGTCAATTTTTCGACTTTTTGAACTTCTTTTTTTTATAGGCTAGAAAGGCGTTTTTTCGTTCTAGAATATCATAAAAGACATTTTCCTGGCCTACATTGCCTAAAAAAAAAAAAAAAAAGTTGCAAAAATGGCCATTTTTCGACCAAAAACAAGGGTTGAGCCCTCTGAAAAATGTCAATTTTTCGAGTTTTTGATCGTTATGTTTTTATAGCCTTGAAAGTCGTTTTTCGGTCTAGAATATCATAAAAGAGATTTTCCTGGTCTATATTGCTAAAAAAAAGTTGGAAAAATGGCCATTTTTGGACCAAAATCATGGGTTAACCCCTTTGGAAAAATGTCAATTTTTCGACTTTTTGAAGTTCTTGTTTTTATAGGCCAGAAAGGCATGTTTTCGTTGTAGAATGTCACAAAGGACATTTTGCTGGCGTAAATTGCTAAAAAAAAAAAACAAAAAAAGGCCATTTTTGGAGAAAAACCATGGGTTAACCTTTTTGGAAAAATGTTCATTCCTGGAATTTTGAAATTCTTGTTTTTATAGCCTAGAAAGGCGTTTTCTCGTTATAGAATATCATAAAACACATTTTCCTGGCCTATATTACGTAAAAAAAAAAGGTTGGAAAAATGGCCATTTTTGGACCTAAACCATGGGTTAACCCTTTCGCAAAAATGTCAATTTTTCGACTTTTTGAACTTCTTGTTTTTATAGCCTCTAAAACCGTTTTTGCGTTCTAAAATATCATAAAAGATATTTTCCTGGGCTATATTAAAAAAAAAAAAAAAGTCTGAAAAACGGCCATTTTTGGACTAAAACCATGGGTTAACCCCTTTAGAAAAATGTCAATTTTTCGACTTTTTGAACTTCTTTTTTTTATAGGCTAGAAAGGCGTTTTTTCGTTCTAGAATATCATAAAAGACATTTTCCTGGCCTACATTGCCTAAAAAAAAAAAGTTGGAAAAATAGCCATTTTTCGACCAAAACCATGGGTTGAGCCCTCTGAAAAAATGTCAATTTTTCGAGTTTTTGAACTTTATGTTTTTATAGCCTAGAAAGTCGTTTTTTCGTTCTAGAATATCATAAAAGACATTTTCCTGGTCTATATTGCTAAAAAAAAAAAAGTTGGAAAAATGGCCATTTTTGGACCAAAATCATGGGTTAACCCTTTGGAAAAATGTCAATTTTTTCGACTTTTTGAAGTTCTTGTTTTTATAGGCCAGAAAGGCGTTTTTTCGTTGTAGAATATCATAAAAGACATTTTCCTGGCCTATATTGCCTAAAAAAAAAACTACAAAGAAAGGCCATTTTTGGACAAAAACCATGGGTTAACCTTTTTGGAAAAATGTTCATTCCTGGAGTTTTTGAAATTCTTGTTTTTATAGCCTAGAAAGGCGTTTTTTCGTGGTAAAATATCATAAAAGACATTTTCCTGGCCTGTATTGCCTAAAAAAAAAAGGTTGGAAAAATGGCCATTTTCGGACCTAAACCATACTTAACCCTGTTGCAAGAATGTAAATTTTTCGACTTTTTGAACCTCTTGTTTTTATAGCCTAGACAAGCGTTTTTGCGTTCTAGAATATCATTTAAGACATTTTCCTGGCCTATATTGCCTAACAAAAAAAAATTGGGAAAAATGGCCATTTTTTGTACCTAAACAATGGGTTAACCCTTTTGCAAAAAATGTCAATGTTTCGACTTTTTGAAGTTCTTGTTTTTATAGCCTAGAAAGGCGTTTTTCGTTGAAGAATATCATAAAAGACATTTTCCTGGCGTACATTGCTGAAAAAAAAAAAAAAAAAAGTTGGAAAAATGGCATTTTTTGACCAAAACCATGGATTAACCCCTTTGGGAAAATGTCCATTTTCGACTTTTTTGAACTTGATGTTAATATAGCCTAGAAAGGCGTTTTTTCGTTCTAGAATATCATAAAAGACATTTTCCTGGCCTATATTGCGTCAAAAAAAAAAAAAGTTGGAAAAATGGCCATTTTTGGATCAAAACTATGGGTTAACCCCGGTGAAAAAATGTCAATTTTCCGAATTTTTAAACTTCTTGTTTTTATAGCCTAAAAGGCGTTTTTTCGTTCTAGAATATCATAAAAGACATTTTTCTGGCCTATATTGCCTAAAAAAAAAACCAGAAAAAAAAGCCATTTTTGGAAAAAAAACCATGGGTTAACTTTTTTGGAAAAACGTCAATTTTTAGACTTTTTGAAATTCTTGTTTTTATAGCGTAGAAAGGCGTTTTTTCGTTGTAGAATATCAAAAAAGACATTTTCCTGGCGGATATTGACTAAAAAAGAAAACTTGGAAAAATGGCCATTTTTCGACCAAAACCATGGGTTAGCACCTTTGAAAAAATGTCAATTTTTCGACTGTTTGAACTTTATGTTTTTATAGCCTAAAAAGGCGATTTTTCCTTGTGGAATATTATAAAAGACATTTTCCTGGCCTATATTGCCTAAAAAAAAAAGTTGGAAAAATGGCCATTTTTCGACCAAAACCATGGGTGAGCCCCTTTGGAAAAGTGGCAATTTTTTGACCGTTTGAACTTTATGTTTTTATAGCCTAAAAAGGCGTTTTTTTTGTTCTAGAATATGATAAAACACATTTTCGCGGCCTATATTGCCCAAAAAAAAACTTGGAAAAATGGCCATTTTCGGACCTAAACCATGGGTTAACTCTTTTGGAAAAATGTCAATTTTTCGACTGTTTGAATTTCTTGTTTTTATAGCCTAGAAAAGCGTTTTTGCGTTCTAGAATATCATAAAAGACATTTTCCTGGGCTATATTGCCTAAAAAAAAAAGTCTGAAAAACGGCCATTTTTGGACTAAAACCATGGGTTAACACCTTTAGAAAAATGTCAATTTTTCGACTTTTTGAACTTCTTTTTTTTATAGGCTAGAAAGGCGTTTTTTCGTTCTAGAATATCATAAAAGACATTTTCCTGGCCTACATTGCCTAAAAAAAAAAAGTTGGAAAAATAGCCATTTTTCGACCAAAACCATGGGTTGAGCCCTCTGAAAAAATGTCAATTTTTCGAGTTTTTGAACTTTATGTTTTTATAGCCTAGAAAGTCGTTTTTTCGTTCTAGAATATCATAAAAGACATTTTCCTGGTCTATATTGCCTAAAAAAAAAAGTTGGAAAAATGGCCATTTTTGGACCAAAATCATGGGTTAACCCCTTTGGAAAAATGTCAACTTTTCGACTTTTTGAAGTTCTTGTTTTTATAGGCCAGAAAGGCGTTTTTTCGTTGTAGAATATCATAAAAGACATTTTCCTGGCCTATATTGCCTAAAAAAAAAACTACAAAGAAAGGCCATTTTTGGACAAAAACCATGGGTTAACCTTTTTGGAAAAATGTTCATTCCTGGAGTTTTTGAAATTCTTGTTTTTATAGCCTAGAAAGGCGTTTTTTCGTGGTAAAATATCATAAAAGACATTTTCCTGGCCTATATTGCCTAAAAAAAAAACTAGAAAAAAGGCCATTTTGGACAAAAACCATGGGTTAACCTTTTTGGAAAAAAGTTCATTCCTGGAGTTTTGAAATTTTTGTTTTTGTAGCCTAGAAAGGCGTTTTTTCGTTGTAGAATATCATAAAAGACATTTTCCCGGCCTATATTGCCTAAAAAAAAAAAAAGTTGGAAAAATGGCCATTTTTCGAAAAAGACCATGGGTTAACTCCTTTGGAAAAACGTCCAATTTTTCGACTTATTGGACTTTATGTTTTTTATAGCCTAGAAAAAGGATTTTTTTTCGTTCTAGAATATCATAAAAGACATTTTCCTGGGCTATATTGCCTAAAAAAAAAAAGTTGGAAAAATGGCAATTTTTGAACAAAACCATGGGTTAACCCCTTTGGAAAAATGTCAATTTTTCGACTTTTTGAACTTCTTGTTTTTATAGCCTAGAAAGGCGTTTTTTCGTTCTAGAATATCATAAAAGACATTTTCCTGGCCTATACTGCCAAAAACAAAAAGTTGGAAAAATGGCCATTTTTCGACCAAAACCATGGGTTAACTCCTTTGGAATAATGTCAATTTTTTGACCGTTTAAACTTTATGTTTTTATAGCCTAGAAAGGCGTTTTTTCGTTCTAGAATATGATAAAACACATTTTCGTGGCCTATGTTGCCTTAAAAAAAAACTTGGAAAAATGGCCATTTTCGGACCTAAACCATGGGTTAACTCTTTTGGAAAAATTACAATTTTGTTTTTATAGCCTAGAAAAGCGTTTTTTCGTTCTAGAATATCATAAAAAAAAGACATTTTCCTGGCCTATATTGCCCCTAAAAAAAAAGTTGCAAAAATGGCCATTATTCGACCAAAACCATGGACAAATGTCAATTTTGGACTTTTTGAATTTTATGTTTTTATAACCTAGAGAGGCGTTTTTTCGTTGTAGAATACCATAAAATACATTTTCCTGTCCTATATTGCCTAAAAAAAAAAGGTTGAAAAAAAAATGGCCATTTTGGACCTAAACCATGGTTAACCCTATTGCAAAAATGTCAATTTTTCGACTTTTTGAACTTTTGTTTTTATAGCCTAGAGAAGCGTTTTTTGCGTTCTAGAATATCATAAAAGACATTTTCCTGGGCTACATTGCCTTAAAATAAAAAAAGTTGGAAAAATGGCCATTTTGGACCAAAACCATGGGTTAACTTTTTTGGAAAAACGTCAATTTTTAGACTTTTTGAAATTCTTGTTTTTATAGCCTAGAAAGGCGTTTTTTCGTTGTAGAATATCAAAAAAGACATTTTCCTGGCGGATATTGACTAAAAAAGAAAACTTGGAAAAATGGCCATTTTTCGACCAAAACCATGGGTTAGCACCTTTGAAAAAATGTCAATTTTTCGACTGTTTGAACTTTATGTTTTTATAGCCTAAAAAGGCGATTTTTCCTTGTGGAATATTATAAAAGACATTTTCCTGGCCTATATTGCCTAAAAAAAAAGTTGGCAAAATGGCCATTTTTATACCAAAATCTCTTGTTAACCCCTTTGGAAAAAAGTCAATTTTTTGACTTTTTGAACTTTATGTTTTTATAGCCTAGGAAGGCGATTTTTCGTTCTAGAATATCAAAAGAGACATTTTCCTGGCGTATATTGCCAAAAAAAAAAAGTTGGAAAAATGGCCATTTTTCGACCAAAACCATGGGTTAGCCCCTTTGGAAAAATTACAATTTTTCGACTTTTTAAACTTGTTTTTTTTATAGCCTAGAAAAGCGTTTTTTCGTTCTAGAATATCATAAAAGACATTTTCCTGGCCTGTATTGCCTAAAAAAAAAAGGTTGGAAAAATGGCCATTTTCGGACCTAAACCATACTTAACCCTGTTGCAAGAATGTAAATTTTTCGACTTTTTGAACCTCTTGTTTTTATAGCCTAGACAAGCGTTTTTGCGTTCTAGAATATCATAAAAGACATTTTCCTGGCCTATATTAACCCCTCCCAAAAAAAGTTGGAAAAATGGCCATTATTCGACCAAAACCATGGAAAAATGTCAATTTTGGGTTTTTTCAATTTTATGTTTTTATAGCCTAGAAAGGCGATTTTTCGTTGTAGAATACCATAAAATACATTTTCCTGGCCTATATTGCCTAAAAAAAAGAGGTTGAAAAATGGCCATTTTTGGACCTAAACCATGGTTAACCCTTTTGCAAAAATGTCAATTTTTCGACTGTTTGAAGTTCTTGTTTTTATAGCCTAGAGAAGCGTTTTTGTGTTCTAGAATATCATAAAAGACATTTTCCTGGCCTATACTGCCTTAGAAAATAAAAGTTGGAAAAATGGCCATTTTTGGACCAAAACCATGGGTTAACCCCTTTGGAAAAATGTCCATTTTGGACTTTTTGAACTTTATGTTTTTATAGCCTAGAAAGGCGATTTTTCGTTGTAGAATATCATAAAAGACATTTTCCTGGTCTATATTGCCTAAAAAAAAAAGTAGGAAAAATGGCCATTTTTGGACCAAAATCATGGGTTAACCCCTTTGAAAAAATGTGAATTTTTCGACTTTTTGAACTTCTTGTTTTTATAGCCTAGAAAGGCGTTTTTTCGTTCAAGAATATCATAAAAGTTATTTTCGTGGCCTATATTGCCTAAAAAAAAAAATGAAATGGCCATTTTTGTACCAAAATCACGGGTTAACCCTTTTGGAAAAATGTCAATTTTGCCACTTTTTGAACTTTATGTTTTTATAGCCTAGAAAAGCGTTTCTTTTTTTTTGTCTAGAATATCATAATAGACATTTTCCTGGCCTATGTTGCCTAAAAAAAAAAACTTGGAACAATGTCCATTTTTGACCCAAAACGATGGGTTAACTGCTTTGGAAAAATATCAATTTTTCGACTATTTGAACTTGGAGTTTTTATTGCCTAGAAAGGCGTTTTTTCGTTCTAGAACATCACAAAAGACATTTTCCTGGGCTACATTGTCTAGAAAAAAAGTTGGAAAAAATTGCCATTTTTCAACCAAAACCATGGAAAAATATCAATTTTTCGACTTTTTTAACTTGTTGTTTTTATAACCTAGAAGAGCGTTTTTTCGTTCTAGAATATCATAAAAGACATTTTCCTGGCCTATATTGCTCCCTCCCAAAAAAAGTTGGAAAAATGGCCATTATTCGACCAAAACAATTTAAAAATGTCAATTTTGGCTTTTTTCAATTTTATGTTTTTATAGCCTAGAAAGGCGATTTTTCGTTGTAGAATACCATAAAATACATTTTCCTGGCGTACATTGCCGAAAAAAAAAAAGTTGGAAAAATGGCAATTTTTCGACCAAAACCATGGATTAACCCCTTTGGGAAAATGTCCATTTTCAACTTTTTGAACTTTATGTTAATATAGCCTAGAAAGGCGTTTTTTCGTTCTAGAATATCATAAGAGACATTTTCCTGGCCTATATTGCCTAAAAAAAAAAAAGTTGGAAAAATGGCCATTTTTGGACCAAAATCATGGGTTAACCCCTTTGGAAAAATGTCAATTTTTCGACTTTTTGAACTTCTTGTTTTTATAGCCTAGAAGGCGTTTTTTCGTTGTAGAATATCATAAAAGACATTTTCCTGGCCTATATTGCCTAAAAAAAAAACCTGAAAAAAAAGCCATTTTTGGACAAAAACCATGGGTTAACTTTTTTGGAAAAACGTGAATTTTTAGACTTTTTGAAATTCTTGTTTTTATAGCCTAGAAAGGCGTTTTTTCGTTGTAGAATATCAAAAAAGACATTTTCCTGGCGTATATTGACTAAAAAAGAAAACTTGGAAAAATGGCCATTTTTCGACCAAAACCATGGGTTAGCACCTTTGAAAAAATGTCAATTTTTCGACTGTTTGAACTTTATGTTTTTATAGCCTAAAAAGGCGATTTTTCCTTGTGGAATATTATAAAAGACATTTTCCTGGCCTATATTGCCTGAAAAAAAAAAAGCTGGAAAAATGGCCATTTTTATAATAAAATCTCTTGTTAACCCCTTTGGAAAAAAGTCAATTTTTTGACTTTTTGAACCTTATGTTTTTATAGCCTAGCAAGGCGATTTTTCGTTATAGAATATCAAAAGAGACGATTTCCTGGCCTATATTGCCTAAAAAAAAAAAGTTGGAAAAATGGCCCTTTTTTGACGAAAGCCATGGGTTAACCCCTTTGGAAAAATGCCAATTTTTCGATTTTTTAAACTTCTTGTTTTTATAGCCTAGAAAGGCGTTTTCTCGTTGTAGAATATCATAAAAGACATTTTCGTGGCCTATATTGCGTAAAAAAAAAAGGTTGGAAAAATGGCCATTTTTGGACCTAAACCATGGAATAACCCTTTTGCAAAAATGTCAATTTTTCGACTTTTTGAATTTTTTTTTTATAGGCTAGAAAGGCGTTTTTTCGTTCTAGAATATCATAAAAGAGATTTTCCTGGCCTACATTGCCTAAAAAAAAAAATTGGAAAAATGGCCATTTTTCGACCAAAACCATGGGTTGAGCCCTCTGAAAAAATGTCAATTTTTCGAGTTTTTGAACTTTATGTTTTTATAGCCTAGAAAGTCGTTTTTTCGTTCTAGAATATCATAAAAGACATTTTCCTGGTCTATATTGCCTAAGAAAAAAGTTGGAAAAATGGCCATTTTTGGACCAAAATCATGGGTTAACCCCTTTGGAAAAATGTCAACTTTTCGACTTTTTGAAGTTCTTGTTTTTATAGGCCAGAAAGGCGTTTTTTCGTTGTAGAATATCGTAAAAGACATTTTCCTGGCCTATGTTGCCTGAAAAAAAAAACTAGAAAGAAAGGCCATTTTTGGAGAAAAACCATGGGTTAACCTTTTTGGAAAAATGTCCATTCCGTGACTTTTTGAAATTCTTGTTTTTGTAGCCTAGAAAGGCGTTTTTTCGTTGTAGAATATCATAAAAGACATTTTCCCGGCCTATATTGCCTAAAAAAAAAAGTTGGAAAAACGGCCATTTCTCGAAAAAGAACATGGGTTAACCTCTTTGGGATAACGTCCAGTTTCGACTTATTGAACTTTATGCTTTTATAGCCTAGAAAATCGATTTTTCGTTGTAGAATATCATATAAGACATTTTCCTGGTCTATATTGCCGAAAAAAAAAGTGGAAAAATGGCCATTTTTTGACAAAAACCATGGGTTAACCCCTTTGGAAAAATGTCAATTTTTCGACTTTTTGAACTTCTTGTTTTTATAAGCTAGAAAGGCGTTTTTTCGTTGTAGAATTTCAAAAAAGACATTTTCCTGGCGTATATTGCCTGAAAAAAAAAAGTTGGAAAAATGGCCATTTTTCGACCAAAACCATGGGTTAGCCCCTTTCGAAAAATCTCAATTTTTCGACTGTTTGAACTTTATGTTTTTATAGCCTAGAAAGGCGATTTTTCGTTCTACAATATCATAAAAGACATTTTCCTGGCCTATATTTCCTAAAAAAAGAAGTTGAAAAAATGGCCATTTTTTATACCAAAACGATGGGTTAACCCCTTTGGAAAAATTACAATTTTTCGACTTTTTTAACTTGTTTTTTTTATAGCCTAGAAAAGCATTTTTTCGTTCTAGAATATCATAAAAGACATTTTCCTGGCCTGTATTGCCTCCCCCCTCCAAAAAAGTTGGAAAAATGGCCATTATTCGACCAAAACCATGGAAAAATGTCAATTTTGGACTTTTTGAATTTTATGTTTTTATAGCCTAGAGAGGCGATTTTTCGTTGTAGAATACCATAAAATACATTTTCCTGGCCTATATTGCCTAAAAAAAAAGGTTGAAAAATGGCCATTTTTGGACCTAAACCATGGTTAACCCTTTTGCAAAAATGTCAATTTTTCGACTTTTTGAACTTCTTGTTTCTATAGCCTAGAAAGGCGTTTTTTCGTTGTACAATATCATAAAAGACATTTTCCTGCCCTATATTGCCTAAAAAGAAAACCTGAAAAAAAAGCCATTTTTGCACAAAAACCATTGGTTAACTGTTTTGGAAAAACGTCAATTTTTAGACTTTTTGAAATTCTTGTTTTTATAGCCTAGAAAGGCGTTTTTCCGTTGTAGAATATCAAAAAAGACATTTTCCTGGCGTATATTGACTAAAAAAGAAAACTTGGAAAAATGGCCATTTTTCCACCAAAACCATGGGTTAGCACCTTTCAGAAAATGTCAATTTTTCGACTGTTTGAACTTTATGTTTTTATAGCCTAAAAAGGCGATTTTTCCTTGTGGAATATTATAAAAGACATTTTCCTGGCCTATATTGCCTGAAAAAAAAAAGTTGGAAAAATGGCCATTTTTATACCAAAATCTCTTGTTAACCCCTTTGGAAAAAAGTCAATTTTTTGACTTTTTGAACTTTATGTTTTTATAGCCTAGCAAGGCGATTTTTCGTTCTAGAATATCAAAAGAGGCGATTTCCTGGCCTGTATTGCCCGCCCCCCCAAAAAGTTGGAAAAATGGCCATTTTTCCACCAAAACCATGGACAAATGTCAATTTTGGACTTTTTGAATGTTATGTTTTTATAGCGTAGAAAGGCGATTTTTCGTTGTAGAATATCATAAAAGACATTTTCCTGGCCTATATTGCCTAAAAAAAAAAGTTGGAAAAATGGCCGTTTTCGGACCTAAACCATAGTTAACCCTGTTGCAAAAATGTAACTTTTTCGACTTTTTGAACCTCTTGTTTTTATAGGCTGGACAAGCGTTTTTGCGTTCTAGAATATCATAAAAGACATTTTCCTGGGCTACATTGCCTAAAAATATAAAAAAGTTGGAAAAATGGCCCTTTTTGGACCAAAACCATGGGTTAACACGTTTAGAAAAATGTCAATTTTTCGACTTTTTGAACTTGTTTTTATAGCCTAGAAGAGCGTTTTTTCGATCTAGAATATCATAAAAGACATTTTCCTGGCCTATATTGCCCCCCCTCCCCAAAAAAGTTGGAAAAATGGCCATTATTCGACCAAAACCATGGAAAAATGTCAATTTTGGGTTTTTTCAATTTTATGTTTTTACAGCCTAGAAAGGCGATTTTTCGTTGTAGAATACCATAAAATACATTTTCCTGGCCTATATTGCCTAAAAAGAAAAGGTTGAAAAATGGCCATTTTTGGACCTAAACCATGGTTAACCCTTTTGCAAAAATGTCAGTTTTTTCGACTTTTTGAAGTTCTTGTTTTTATAGCCTAGAAAAGCGTTTTTGCGTTCTAGAATATCATAAAAGACATTTTCCTGGCCAATATTGCCTAAAAAAAAAACTTAAAAAAAGACCATTTTTGGAAAAAAACCATGGGTTAACCTTTTTGGAAAAATGTCAATTTTTCGACTTTTTGAACTTCTTCTTCTTGTAGCCTAGAAAGGCATTTTTTCGTTCTATAATATCATAAAAGACATTTTCCTAGGCTATGCCGCCTTAGAAAATAAAAGTTGGAAAAATGGCCATTTTTGGACCAAAACCATGGGTTAACCCCTTTGGAAAAATGTCCATTTTGAACTTTTTGAACTTTATGTTTTTATAGCCTAGAAAGGCGATTTTTCGTCGTCGAATATAATAAATGACATTTTCCTGGTCTATATTGCCGAAAAAAAAAAGTAGAAAAATGGCATTTTTGGACCGAAATCATGGGTTAGCCCCTTTGAAAAAATGTCAATTTTTCTACTTTTTCAACTTCTTGTTTTTATAGGATAGAAAGGCGTTTTTTCGTTCTAGAATATCCTAAAAGACATTTTACTGGCCTATATTGCCTAAAAAAAAAAGTTGGAAAAATGGCCATTTTTGGACCAAAATCATGGGTTAACCCCTTTGGAAAAATGTCAGATTTTCGACTTTTTGAACTTCTTGTTTTTATAGCCTAGAAAGGCGTTTTTTCGTTCAAGAATATCATAAAAGTTATTTTCCTGGCCTATATTGCCTAAAAAAAAAAATGGAAAAATGGCCATTTTTGTACCAAAATCACGGGTTAACCCTTTTGGAAAAATGTCAATTTTTCCACTTTTTGAACTTTATGTTTTTATAGCCTAGAAAAGGGTTTTTTTTTTCTAGAATATCATAATAGACATTTTCCTGGCCTATGTTGCCTAGAAAAAAAAAAGTTGGAACAATGTCCATATTTGACCCGAAACCATGGGTTAACTGCTTTGGAAAAATATCAATTTTTCGACTTTTTGAACTTCGAGTTTTTATTGCCTAGAAAGGCGTTTTTTCCTTGAAGAATATCATAAAAGACATTTTCCTGGGCTATATTGCCTAGAAAAAAAGTTGGAAAAAATTGCCATTTTTGAACCAAAACCATGGAAAAATGTCAATTTTTCGACTTTTTCGACTTCTTGTTTTTATAGCCTAGAAAAGCGTTTTTTCGTTCTAGAATATCATAAAAGACATTTTCCTGGCCTATATTGCCTAAAAAAAGAAGTTGGAAAAATGGCCATTTTCGGACCTAAACCATAGTTAACCCTGTTGCAAAAATGTAAATTTTTCGACGTTTTAAACCTGTTGTTTTTATAGCCTAGACAAGCGTTTTTCCGTTCTAGAATATCATAAAAGACATTTTCCTGGGCTACATTGCCTAAAAACAAAAAGTTGGAAAAATTGCCATTTTTGAACCAAAACCATGAGAAAATGTCAATTTTTCGACTTTTTCGACATCTTGTTTTTATAGCCTAGAAAAGCGTTTTTTCGTTCTAGAATATCATAAAAGACATTTTCCTGGCCTATATTGCCTAAAAAAAAAAGTTGGAAAAATGGCCATTTTTATACCAAAATCTCGGGTTAACCCCTTTGAAAAAATGTCAATTTTTCAACTTTTTCAACTTCTTGTTTTTATAGCCTAGAAAGGCGTTTTTTCGTTCTAGAATATCATAAAAGACATTTTCCTGGGCTATATTGCCTAGAAAAAAAAGTTGGAAAAATGGCCATTTTTGAACCAAAACCATGGGTTAACCCCTTTGGAAAAATGTTAATTTTTCGGCTTTTTGAACTCCTTGTTTTTAGAGCCTAGACAAGCGTTTTTTCGTTCTAGAATATCATAAAAGACATTTTCCTGACCTATATCGCCTTAGAAAATAAAAGTTTGAAAAATGGCCATTTTTGGACCAAAACCATGGGTTAACCCCTTTGGAAAAAAGTGCATTTTGGACTTTTTGAACTTTATGTTTTTATAGCCTAGAAAGGCGATTTTTCGTTGTAGAATATCATAAAAGACATTTTCCTGGTCTATATTGCCGAAAAAAAAAAATGGAAAAATGGCATTTTTGGACTGAAATCATGGGTTAGCCCCTTTGAAAAAATGTCAATTTTTCTACTTTTTCAACTTCTTGTTTTTATAGCATAGAAAGGCGTTTTTTCGTTCTAGAATATCATAAAAGACATTTTCCTGGCCTATATTGCCTAAAAAAAGAAGTTGGAAAAATGGCCATTTTCGGACCTAAAGCATAGTTAACCCTGTTGCAAAAATGTAAATTTTTCGACGTTTTAAACCTGTTGTTTTTATAGGCTAGACAAGCGTTTTTCCGTTCTAGAATATCATAAAAGACATTTTCCTGGGCTACATTGCCTAAAAACAAAAAGTTGGAAAAATTGCCATTTTTGAACCAAAACCATGAAAAAATGTCAATTTTTAGACTTTTTCGACATCTTGTTTTTATAGCCTAGAAAAGCGTTTTTTCGTTCTAGAATATTATAAAAGACATTTTCCTGGCCTATATTGCCAAAAAAAAAAGGTTGGAAAAATGGCCATTTTTATACCAAAATCTCGGGTTAACCCCTTTGGAAAAATGTCAATTTTTCAACTTTTTGAACTTCTTGTTTTTATAGCCTAGAAAGGCGTTTTTTTGTTCTAGAATATCATAAAAGACATTTTCCTGGGCTATATTGCCTAGAAAAAAAAGTTGGAAAAATGGCCATTTTTGAACCAAAACCATGGGTTAACCCCTTTGGAAAAATGTTAATTTTTCGACTTTTTGAACTCCTTGTTTTTATAGCCTAGAAAGGCGTTTTTTCGTTCTAGAATATCATAAAAGACATTTTCCTGACCTATATCGCCTTAGAAAATAAAAGTTGGAAAAATGGCCATTTTTGGACCAAAACCATGGGTTAACCCCTTTGGAAAAATGTCCATTTTGGACTTTTTGAACTTTATGTTTTTATAGCCTACAAAGGCGATTTTTCGTTGCAGAATATCATAAAAGATATTTTCCTGGTCTATATTGCCGAAAAAAAAAAAATGGAAAAATGGCATTTTTGGACTAAAATACATCGGTTAACCCCTTTGAAAAAATGTCAATTTTTCAACTTTTTTCAACTTCTTGTTTTTATAGCCTAGAAAGGCGTTTTTTTTGTTCTAGAATATCTTAAAAGACATTTTCCTGGCCAATATTGCCTAAAAAAAAAATTGGAAAAATGGCCATTTTTGGACAAAAACCATGGGTTAACCCCTTTGGAAAAATGTCAATTTTTCGACTTTTTGAACTTCTTGTTTTTATAGCCGAGAAAGGCGTTTTTTCGTTCTAGAATATCATAAAAGACATTTTCCTGGCCTATATTGCCTAAAAATAAAAGTTGGAAAAATGGCCATTTTTATACCAAAATCACGGGTTAACCCCTTCGGAAAAATGTCAATTTTTCCACTTTAAAACTTTATGCTTTAATAGCCTAGAAAAGCGTTGTTTTTGTTCTAGAAGATCTGAAAAGACATTTACCTTGCCTATTTTACCTAAAAAAAAAGTTTGAAAGATGGCCATTTTTGGACCAAAACCATGGGTTAACCCCTTTGGAAAAATGTCAATTTTTCGAGTTTTTGAACTTCTTGTTTTTATTGCCTAGAAAGGCGTTTTTTCGTTCTAGAATATCATAAAAGTCATTTTCCTGGGCTATATTGCCTAGAAAAAAAAAGTTGGAAAAATGGCCATTTTTGAACAAAACCATGGATTAACCCCTTTGGAAAAATGTCAATTTTTCGACTTTTTAAACTTCTTGTCTTTTTAGCCTAGAAAAGCGTTTTTTTGTTCTAGAATATCATAAAAGACATTTTCCTGGCCTATATTGCCAAAAACAAAAAGTTGGAAAAATGGCCATTTTCGGACCAAACCATAGTTAACCCTTTTGCAAAAATGTAAATTTTTCGACGTTTTAAACGTCTTTTTTTTATAGCCTAGACAAGCGTTTTTCCGTTCTAGAATATCATAAAAGACATTTTCCTGGGCTACATTGCCTAAAAACAAAAAGTTGGAAAAATTGCCATTTTTGAACCAAAACCATGAAAAAATGTCAATTTTTCGACTTTTTCGACTTCTTGTTTTTATAGCCTAGAAAAGCGTTTTTTCGTTCTAGAATATCATAAAAGACATTTTCCTGGCCTATATTGCCTAAAAAGGAAAAGTTGGAAAAATGGCCAGGTTGGACCAAAACCATGGGGTAACCCGTTTGGAAAAATGTCAATTTTTGGACTTTTTTAAACTTCTTGTTTTTATAGCCTAGAAAGGCGTTTTTTCGTGGTAGAATATCATAAAAGACATTTTCCTGGCCTATATTGCCTAAAAAAAAAAATGGAAAAATGGCATTGTTGTACCGAAACCATGGGTTAACCCCTTTGGAAAAATGTCCATTTTGGACTTTTTGAACTTTATGTTTTTATAGCCTACAAAGGCGATTTTTCGTTGTAGAATATCATAAAAGACATTTTCCTGGTCTATATTGCCGAAAAAAAAAAAAATGGAAAAATGGCATTTTTGGACCGAAATCATGGGTTAGCCCCTTTGAAAAAATGTCAATTTTACTACTTTTTCAACTTCTTGTTTTTATAGCATAGAAAGGCGTTTTTTCGTTCTAGAATATCCTAAAAGACATTATACTGGCCTGTATTGCCTAAAAAAAAAAGTTGGAAAAATGGCCATTTTTGGACCAAAATCATGGGTTAACCCTCTTGTTTTTATAGCCTAGAAAAGCGTTTTTTCGTTCTAGAATATCATAAAAGACATTATACTGGCCTATATTGCCTAAAAAAAAGAAAAGGAAAAATGGCCATTTTTGTACCAAAATCACGGGTTAACCCTCTTGTTTTTATAGCCTAGAAAAGCGTTTTTTCGTTCTAGAATATCATAAAAGACATTATACTGGCCTATATTGCCTAAAAAAAAAAGTTGGAAAAATGGCCAGTTTGGACCAAAACCATGGGGTAACCCGTTTGGAAAAATGTCAATTTTTGGACTTTTTTAAACTTCTTGTTTTTATAGCCTAGAAAGGTGTTTTTTCGTTGTAGAATATAATAAAAGACATTTTCCTGGCCTATATTGCCTAAAAAAAAAAAAAAAATGGAAAAATGGCATTGTTGGACCGAAATCATGGGTTAACCCCTTTGGAAAAATGTCCATTTTGGACTTTTTGAACTTTATGTTTTTATAGCCTAAAAAGACTTTTTCCTGGCCTAGGTTGCCTAGAAAAAAAAAGTTGGAACAATGGCCATTTTTGACCCGAAACCATGGGTTAACTGCTTTGGAAAAATGTCAATTTTTCGACTTTTTGAACTTCTTGTTTTTATAGCCTAGAAAGGCGCTTTTTCGTTGTAGAATATCATAAAATACATTTTCCTTGCCTATGTTGCCTAAAAAAAAAACTTTAGAAAAAGGCCATTTTTTGACAAAAACCATGGGTTAACCTTTTTGGAAAAATGTCAATTTTTCGACTGTTTGAACTTCTTGTTTTTATAGCCTAGAAAGGCGTTGTTTCCTTGTAGAATATCAAAAAAGACATTTTCCTGGCGTATATTGGCTAAAAAAAAAAGTTGGAAAAATGGTCATTTTTGAATCAAAACCATGCGTTAACCCCTTTCAAAAAATGGCAATTTTTCGACTTTTTGAACTTCTTGTTTTTATAGCCTAGAAAGGCGTTTTTCGTTCTAGAATATCATAAAAGACATGTTCCTGGCCTATATTGCCTAAAAAAAAGAAGTTGGAAAAATGGCCATTTTTCCACCAAAACCATGGGTTAACCCCTTTGGAAAAATGTCCATTTTCGACTTTTTAAACCTTATGTTTTTATAGCCTAGAAAGGCGATTTTTCGTTGTAGAATATCATAAAAGACATTTCCCTGGCCTATATTGCCTAAAAAAAAAAGTTGGAAAAATGGCCATTTTTATACCAAAATCTCGGGCTAACCCTTTTGGAAAAATGTCAATTTTTCGACTTTTTGAACTCCTTGTTTTTATAGCATAGTAAGGCGTTTTTTCGTTCTAGAATATCATAAAAGACATTTTCCTGGCCTATATTGCCTTAAAAAAGAAAAGTTGGAAAAATGGTCATTTTTCGACCAAAACCATGGGTTAACCCCTCTTAAAAAATGGCAATGTTTCGACTTTTTGAACTTCTTGTTTTTATAGCCTAGACAGGCGTTTTTTCGTTGTAGAATATCATAAAACACATTTTCCTGGCCTATATTGCCTAAAAGAAAAACTTTAAAAAATGGCAATTTTTGGACCAAAACCATGGGTTGACCCCGTTGGAAAAATGTTAATTTTTCGACTTTTTGAACTCCTTGTTTTTATAGCATAGTAAGGCGTTTTTTCGTTCTAGAATATCATAAAAGACATTTTCCTGGCCTATATTGCCTTAAAAAAGAAAAGTTGGAAAAATGGTCATTTTTCGACCAAAACCATGGGTTAACCCCTCTGAAAAAATGTCAATTTTTCGACTTGTTGAACTTCATGTTTTTATAGCCTAGAAAGTCGTTTTTTCGTGCTAGAATATCATTAAAGACATTTTCCAGCGGTGTATTGGCTAGAAAGAAAAGTTGGAAAAAGGGCCATTTTTGGACCTAAACCATGGGTTAACCCTTTTGCAAAAATGTCAATTTTTGGACTTTTTGAACTTCTTGTTTTTATAGCCTAGAAAAGCGTTTTTGCGTTCTAGAATGTCATAAAAGACATTTTCCTGGCCTATATTGCCTAAAAAAAAAAAGTTGGAAAAATGGCCATTTTTGGACTAAAACCATGGGTTAACACCTTTAGAAAAATGTCAATTTTTCGACTTTTTGAACTTCTTGTTTCTATAGCCTAGAAAGGCGTTTTTTCGTTCTAGAATATCATAAAAGACATTTTCCTGGCCTATATTGCCTAAAAAAAAAAAAGTTGGAAAAATGGCCATTTTTCCACCAAAACCATGGGTTAACCCCTTTGGAAAAATGTCCATTTTCGACTTTTTAAACCTTATGTTTTTATGGCCTAGAAAAGCGTTTTTTCGTTGTAGAATATCATAAAAGACATTTTCCTGGCCTATATTGCCTAAAAAAAAAAGTTGGAAAAATGGCCACTTTTATACCAAAATCACGGGTTAACCACTTTGGAAAAATGTCAATGTTTCGACTTTTTGAACCTCTTGTTTTTACTGCCTAGAAAGGCGTTTTTTCGTTCTAGAATATGATAAAAGACTTTTTGCTGGGCTATATTGCCTAAAAAAAAAAATTTGGAAAAACGGCCATTTTTGGACCAACACCATCAGTTAACCCCTTTGGAAAAATACAAATTTTTCGACTTTTTAAACTTCCTGTCTTTATAGCCTAGAAAAGCGTTTTTTCGTTTTAGAATATCATAAAAGACATTTTCCTGGCCTATATTGCAAAAATAATAGTTGGAAAATTGGCCATTTTTGGACCAAAACCATGGGTTAACCCCTTTGGAAAAATGTCAAGTTTTCGACTTTGTGAACTTTACGTTTTTATAGCTTTGAAAGGCTTTTTTTCGTTCTAGAATATCATAAAAGACATTTTCCTGATTTATATTGCCGAAAAAAAAAAATTTAAAAAAGGCCATTTTTGTACCGAAATCATGGGTTAACCCCTTTGGAAAAATGTCAAGTTTTCCACTTTTTGAACTTTATGTTTTTATAGCCTAGAAAGGCGTTTTTTTCCTTCTAGAATATCATAAAAGCAATTTTTCTGGCCTATAGTGCCTAAAAAAAAAGGTTGGAAAAATGGCCATTTTTATACCAAAATCACGGGTTAACGCCTTTGAAAAAATGTCAAGTTTTCCACTTTTAAATTTTATGTTTTTATAGCCTAGAAAGGCTTTTTTTTCGTTGTCGAATATCAGAAAAGACATTTTCCTTGCCTTTTTTGCCTAAAAGAATTGTTTGAAAAATAGCCATTTTTGGTCCAAAACCATGGGTTGACCCCTTTGGAAAAATGTCAATTTTTCGTTTTTGTGAACTTTATGTTTTTATAGCCTAGAAAGCGATTTGTCGTTCTAGAATATAATAAAAGACATTTTCCTGGCCTATATTGCCTAAAAAAGAAAGTTGGAAAAAACACATTTTTATACCAAAATCATGGGTTAACCCCTTTGGAAAAATGTCAATTTTCGACTTTTAGAACTTTATGCTTTTATAGCCTAGAAAGGCATTTTTTCGTTCTAGAATATCATAAGAGACATTTTCCTGGCCTATATTGCCTAAAAAAAAAATTTGGAAAAATGGCCATTATTGGACAAAAACCATGGGTTAACCTTTTTGGAAAAATGTCAATTTGACTTTTTGAACTTTATGTTTTTATAGCCTAGCAAGGCGATTTTTCGTTCTAGAATATCATAAAAGACGTTTTCCTGGCCTATACTGCCTAAAAAAAAAACTTAAAAAAAATGGCCATTTTTGGACCAAAACCATGGGTGAACCCCTTTGGAAAAACGTTTATTTTCGGACTTTTCTGACTTCTTCTTTTTATAGCCTAAAAAGGCGTTTTTTCGTTCTAGAATATCAGAAAGGACATTTTCCCGGCCTATTTTGCCTAAAAAAAAAGTTTGAAAAATGGCCATTTTTGGACCAAAACCATGGGTTAACCCCTTTGGAGAAATGTCAATTTTTCGACTTTTTGAACTTCTTGTTTTTATAGCCTAGAAAGGCGTTTTTTCGTTGTAGAATATCATAAAAGACATTTTCCTGGCCTATATTGCCTAAAAAAAAAAGTTGGAAAAATGGCCATTTTTGAACCAAAACCAAAACCATGGGTTTGAAAAAAAACGTTTTTAGAAAAATGTCTTATTTTTCGCCTAGAAAGGGAGTTTTTGTTTTTATAGAATATCGTAAAAGACATTTTTTTTCGTTCTAGAAAAAAAGAAATAAAAAAATTTTCATGGCCTTTATTGCCAAAAAAAAGTTGGTAAAATGGTCATTTTTAGACCAAAACCATGGGTTAACCCGTTTTCAAAAATATCAATTTTTTAACTTTTTTAACTTTTTGTTTTTACAGTCTACAAAGGCGTTTCTGCGGTCTAGGATATCGTAAAAAACATTTTCCTGGCCTATATTGGCTAAAAAAAAAAGTCTGAAAATTGGCCATTTTTGGACCAAAACCATAGGTTAACCCCTTTAAAAAAAATATCAATTTTTCGACTTTTTGAAGTTCTTGTTTTTATAGCGTAGAAAGGCGTTTTTTCGTTGTAGAATATCGTAAAAGACATTTTGGTTTGAAAAATATTAAACCTCTTTTTTTATAGCGTAGAAAGGCGTTTTTTCGTTCTAGAATATCGTAAAAGACATTTTTTTGGCCTTTATTGCCTAAAAAAAAAAGTTGGAAAATTGGCCATTTTTATTCCAAAACCTTTGGAAAAATGTTAATTTTTTGACTTTTTGAACTTCTTGTTTTTATAGCCTAGAAAGGCGCTGTTTAGTTCTAGAATTTGGTAAAAGACTTTTTCCTGGCCTATATTGCCTAAAAATAAAAAGGTGGAATAATGGCCGTTTTTCGACCAAAACCATTGGTTAACCCCTTTGGAAAAATGTCATTTTTTCGACTTTTTGAAGTTCTTGTTTTTATAGCTTAGAAAGGTGTTTTTTCGTTCTTGAATATCGTAAAAGAGATTTTGCTGGCCTATGATGCCTAAAATAAAAAAGTTGGAAAAATGGCCATTTTTGGAGCAAAACCATGGGTTAACCCTTTGGAAAAATGGCCATTTTTCGATGTTTTGAATTTCTTGTTTTTATAGCCTAGAAAGGCGTTTTTTCGTTGTAAAATATAGTAAAAGACATTTTCTTGGCCTATATTGCCTAAAAAAGAAAGCAGGAAAAATGGCCATTTTTGGACCAAAACCATGGGTTAACGTCTTTGGAAAAATGTCAATTTTTCGACTTTTTGAATTTTTTTTGTTTTTATAGCCTAGAAAGGCGTGTTTTCGTTGTAAAATATCGTAAAAGACATTTTCCTGGCCTATATTGCCTGAAAAAAGAAAGTAGGAAAAATTGCCATTTTGGACCAAAACCATGGGTTAACGTCTTCGGAAAAATGTCAATTTTTCGACTTTTTGAACTTTTTGTTTTTTATAGCCTAGAAAGGTGTGTTTTCGTTCTTGAATATCGTAAAAGACATTTTCCCGGCCTATGTTGCCTAAAAAAAAGTTGGAAAAATGGCCATTTTTGGACGAAAACCATGTGTTAACCCCTCTGGGAAAATGTTAATTTTTTCACTTTTTTAATTTGTGGTCTTTATAGGGTAGAAAGGCGTTTTTTTTTCTAGAATATCGTAAAAGACCTTTTCCTGGCCTATATTTCCTAAAAAAAAAGTTGGAAAAATGGCCATTGATCCATTTTCCATTAAAACAAAGAATGGAAAAATCTGCACTTTTTGACAAAAACCATGGAAAAATGTAAATTTTTGGGTATTTTTTAAATGGATGATTTCATAGTCTCAATAGGCTTCGTTTCTGTCTAGAATTGTACCAAACACTTTTTTTCATGCATTTTGCATAAAATAGGCTTGTACTTTTATTAGAACCTTAGCGAACTTTTTTTTATCCATTTTGCGTACCGTGTCAAAACAGGAGAAGAAAAAATTTTCGCTTTTTGACAAAAACTATGGACCTTTGAAAAAATGCAAATTTGGGGGCTTTGTAATCGATCTTTTTAAAGTCTAAGAAGACTTCTTTTTGTTTTTCTGGAACTTCAACAAACTGTTTTTGTTGACCATTTCGAAGTAAAACAGAGGATTGAGAAATCTGCATTTTTTGGCAAAAACCATGGGAAAAATGTAAATTTTGAGCATTTGTTAAATGTTTTTTTTTAGTCCAAGACGTCTTGTCTTTCTAGATTTTCACCAAACGCTTTTTCTTTATAATTTGTTTTTTAATAGAAAAGAATGAAAAATTTCATTTTTTGACAAAAACCTTAGACTAACCCATTTGGAAAAATTGACATTTTTTTGCCCTTTATAAATCTTTGTTTTTATAGTCTAAATAGACTTCTTTTCTATTTAGAACTTCACCAAACACTTTTTCTTGAACCATTGCGCCTTAAAGCAAAGGACTGCAAAGCTGATTTAAAACAACGTGTATTGTGCATATAGTCATGCATATTGTGCATTGTGTATTGTGCATAGTATTGTGCATTGTGCATAGTCTAAATAGGGTTCTTTTCTTTCTAGAACTTCACCAAACACTTTTTCTTAATCCATTTCGCCTCAAAACAGATAAATGGAAATTTTCATGTTTTTGACAAAAACCAAGGATTTACACCTCTTTGGAAAAATGCAAATTTTATGCATTTTTTAAATGGATGTTTTTATAGTCTAAATAAGCTTTTTTTCTGTCTAGAACTTCATCAAACACTTTTTCTTCATCCATTTTTCATTAAAAGAAAAGAATGAAAAAGTTTAAAGTTTTGACAAAAATCTTGGACTAACCCCTTAGGGAGAATGGAAATTTTGGGCGTTCTTTTTAAACCCATGTTGTTATAGTCTCAATAGGCTTCTTTTGTTTCTAGAATTTCACCAAACACTTTTTCTTGATCCATTTCGTCTCAAAACAATAAAATGAAAAATTTTAATTTTTTGACAAAAACCATGGACTAACCACTTCGCAAAATTGCAAATTTTGGGGTTTTTTAAATCGACGGTTTTATAGTCTTAGTCTTTTATAGTCTTATAGGCTTCTTTTCTTTCCAGAACCTCATCAAACACTTTTTCTTGAACCTTTTTGCGTTAAAAAAATTATTGTTGAAGATTTGCAAATTTAAGCAAATTTTTCCAGCGATCTGTTTGTAGTACATAAAGGTTTGTTTTCTATCTACAACATCTCCAACACTTAATTCTAGATGTGCAAAAACAATGAACTAACCCCTTTGGGAGAATGCAAAATTTGGGTACCCTTAAAAATGGATGTCTTTTTAGCCTTAAAGGGCTTTTTTGCATGGACTAATTCCTTTGAAAAAAAGCAATTAATAATTTGAGTACTTTTAAAATTATGTCTTTAAACTCTCAAAAGGCTTCTTTTCTTTCAAGATCTTCACAAAACAATTTTTTCTTGATCTATTTTTCTCAAAAAAAAAGAAAGATCGAAAAATATCAATTTTTGACAAAAACCGTGGACTAACCCCTTTGAAACAATACAGTCTAAAAAAGATTCTTTTCTATCTAGAATTTAACCAAACAAGTTTTTTTTTTATTTATTTTGCATCAAAACAAAAGATAGAAAAATCTCAATATTCTGACAAAACAGCCTCGGCCAGTCGAGTGACTGGTGACGAAGAGCAAGGGACCATGGAAAGCGTAAAGAAGGGAGGCGAAGTGCCTTCCAGATCTTGTGCCGTTTTCTTGGCACGGCGCTATTTTTAAGTCTTGGAAGCACTCAATTTTAGTAGCATATTGTTGTACAGATTTCAACTTAGATTATTTCTAGGCTTAATTTGCAAAAATGAAAATGGGGACATTATTTCCAAGTTTCGACCCCAAATCATTGGTTAACGCCTTTGAGAAAACTCGAATTTTGCGTATTGGTTCAAGATACAATTTTAGTTTTTTTCAGTCTAGAAAGCCTCTTTTCTATCCAGAATATCAACTAACAGTAGTTCTAGGCTTATTTCCCCCCAAAAAACAAAGGTAAGCAGCATTATAGAATAATCATTGGGCCGTTCTTTTGTCATTCAGGTGAGGCAATCCGGTGCAACTACTGCGAAAGCTATGTTTCATTTGAGGATTGTGATAAACGTTTGAAACATGTCGAGTGTGCGAAGGAATTTGGCTTGGATCATTGCATGAAGACGCATATCAAAGCTTCTAACAGGACTGACGAAAAATTCAAACGAGGGTGCCAGTCTGCACGTAAGTGCAATAAGCCACCATGCAAGGCTCCTGGTGACGACAAATGTGACGTCTTCTGTTGTACAGAAGACAACTGTAATAAATCGTCCATAACAGTTGACAGCGGTGCCACGCTTTTTATATGCGCAATGCTGGCGACTATTTTGATAAGGCTAACAGAGTGAAGATATCAGTTAAAACGCAGTATTATCTATATTCCGTAGATTTTAATAGAGTAAAAAGGTAAAGGGTAGTTATCAGCCTCTGATCTTTATTATGACCTAAAAATAGCGTTTCGGTCGTTGATTGCGATATTTGTGAACACAATAGACTGTTATCACTCAGCTGTTTATTATCATTCTGCAGTACCCTGGAAAAGCGAGCAAACGTACTTCTTAAAAAATGGCTAACATCACCAATTATTTATCAATACGTGAGTACTGAAAGATAAAAGAAAAAGAAAAGTGTGGAGATGTTGGCATGCTTTTGCTCGTCGGCTCATTCAAAAATTTGTGTGGGTTCTTCCTTATCACCCATTCGCATGTTTTTTTTTTTTCGAGAATGGCGTTTAAAACCTTTAATTCCACTAATTATAACGAAACAAATAGAGCAGAATTAGTTTTCATTTTCTATAGATTATAGTTATGGCTATAAAATGTCACTGATGAATTTCTGCGCTGAAACCAGTAGTTGTTTCACTAAGGCACTTTTGCTTTCTGTTTAATGCTGTCATTTCTATGAAGTATATAATAAAAGTGCGTACTACTCCCCGCAATAGAATCTGGTGTACAATTTGTTTATTCGTTAATATTTTGACTGTGAATTTGTGAAGGCCGAGAGGGGTACTATAAGATATTTCGACCGAAATTCAAATGGATCGATTGGTCTTTCTTAGGTCTTTATTTGCTTAGAAAATAACTCAACTTTTCATAAAACGAGGTCGAAAATATGCATAATAAAAGTACTTTGATACAATATTATAGTCGCCATATCGGTTTCTATGGTTCTTTGATTCATCGGCCAAGATGATGGATGGAATAAACACAAAAACAGTAGGATTTGAGAAATTCAGACCAATATTGTGTTTCAGCCCTCAATAAATTAAACAACGTAGATACCGGCAAAAACAAGGTCACAGCACAGGGCGAACCCTAATTTAAAACAATCAATTAGGTGCAGGTGATAACTCGAGCACAACAATTTGCCGTCTACCCCTTTGAATTTATATATAGTTATTAAACAGTTATCAATGATAAGGGAGAAACGGAAAAGAGGTCTGAAGAAACGACCGAGTGAGTGAAAGTAAGAGAATAATTAAGGGTTTAGTTTCTAAAGAAACTGTGGTGTTGCGTAGGTGGATACAATGATTTGGTTTCGTGTTAAGTGAATTGATAAGATAGATTGGCTTCTGCATGGAGATAGAGGAGCTGACCTTACAAACACTAGCCCCTTTCTCCAGAGCGAATCCGGGGATAGTGGGTTGTGTGTGTAGATTGCAGGTGGTGGTGTGGTTTGGTCAGAGCTAACGCACGAAACTCGATTCTCTAGCTCACAACGCTGGACAATCTACCTTATCAACCCTGTTAAAGCCAGCTTAGTCAGCTTCAGCATCAGTAAGAATTAATGGAATGATCTGGTGGGGAGATTCTGTGATCAACGATATTTCTAAAAGTTTAAAAAATTTGGGAGTGCGCAAGCCCATTTTCACCGTAGGCCCTCCTGAATGATTTTTATTCTACCATAACGATAGGTCATTAAAGGATTGTTCAACGTAGCAAGATGGACTTACCTTGAATCTATCAGCCAAGTGACGGCAAATTACGTTGTGCAACAGTACAAGCAGAATATATGTTGGCTAGACACAATTTACGTAATGGTTGTTGAGTCGTCGTGTTTCGGCAGTCAAACTGACTTTTATAAGTGATTTCAAGTTCTTAAGTGCTGAAGCTTAAGTCTAGTACTGAAGGACTTTTACATTTATTAAGGTCAGCTACCGATGTAAATAATGGAACGTCGGCCTTGGTAAAGTGCATTCACTTTACGATTTTTTAAAACTAAGCTAAATTGGTTGAGAAATAGTCGCAGCTTTCAGAACACAACGTCGAAGCCAAGTAACGTCCCCAGCTTTCTTTTGTTCCCTTAAGTGCTGTCTTGTATTGTAATTTTACCGTAACGTGCGATGACGTGATCTAACGACGTGATCACTTGAAAAAAATCGAGTCCGCCTTGACATGCCAGTAAAGTTCAAACGGCTCCGGCAAAGATTCCGGTAATTTCCCCTAACCTATGAACTTGGAAAAAAACATGCTATGAGGAAGCAGATGAATCAATGTTTGTTCAACTGAATATTGGCCTCTTGGATACCTTTTTAAGGGCACGGCGTGTAGCATAGTCAGGACCACACACACAACTTGACGCCTGCCCTGCTACGAATCCCATGAATGGTCTAGAAACATGAGATACTTAATCGTCTTGTTCCTCGTAACTCTGGCAGTTTTGGTGCTGATAAATGACGTTGGTGCCCAAAGTTCACGACGTAGACGTATACGACGCACTACGCGTAGGCCGCCGGGTACTACTGCTGCTCCAGTTCCGACTCAGCACGAGCCAAGAATCACCAAGACCACGCCGATAGAGGCAACCAAGTTCAGTTCTCCAGTTATCAAGTTACAAACGAAGCTCGGTTTGCGCAGTCAGTTGTTTAACAATGTGGTGGCTGGTTATAGTGTGACCAGATACGAACTAAGTGAAGCTCCAGTTTATCGAGGTGGCTTTCCAGTCCATGGAAGTTACGTGTCCATTCCTGAAAACAGAGCGGTGAGGTTGTCGTCCGAAAGAGTGAGCTTACTGGACTCCAATGGAAGCCTGTGCCTGGGACAATCTTCCAAAGAACTTACACTGACAGGAGGAATCGAAAACAACATCACCGAAGTGAGAGCAGCAGTGAAATACGAGAATAGTCTGAACGACAAGACCTTATCCGGCGTCAACAACACAGTTCCTTTGAACGACGTCAAAGACAAGACCTTCACAGTAACCTCTCGGGCTCGCTACAGAACCCCTGTCGTGGACAACACCCAGTGTACACAAGTGGAGAAGGAAGTGAATGGAACAATGATTCAGTTGTACGAATTTAATCCTAACACTGCAGGCATAACCGGTATAGATTCTCGGCTGATTTTCGCTTCTATCACAGTGATTGGAATTGTTAATGGTCTTAAGTAGAGCGTGACTTGGCTGCTTAGTGAAAATGTCCCTAAAGACCAATAGTGACTGTTTTCGTTGTTTTTCATTAAATTTCACTTGCACTTTTGCAATTGGAAGAGGTACCACAACTGTAATTAGCTAAACGCATAAAATGACATCATTTAATTACTTACTAGTGCTTGTTTTAAAAGTCGAAATGTGATTGTAGCGTAACACAAAGCTAAAAGTGTAATAAAATGTAATTATATGACTTTAACAGTATTAGCTCGTAAAAATCATAAATCAACTGATTCTAAGGCCAAATGATATATCCAATATATACTAGTTTTAATACGATTTTTTTTTTCGTATTAATCTTTTAGACCATCGCACTGCGATTGAGAAGAATAAACTTCATTGAAATCAGTATATTGAGCTATTCAAGAGTAGCATGAATCCACTTATTAAGCTTCTGGCAGGAATACAAAAATCTTGGAAAATAATCGACAGTGATTGTCACTGTCTGCTCAGTTTGAGTATTCTAGTACTGTGCCCCTGCAAATGGTGTCCGTTGCAAAATGTGAAAGAATTTCCCATGCTCATTTCCGATAAGCCTTATTTTTGTCAGTGTCACAATTAAACGTAGAATTACTTAATTTTTGTTCATTTTTCCCATCCTCATTTCAGTACCACTAAAGGAACCGATAAGCCTTTTTTTTATCAGTTTTACAATTAAACGTAGAATTACTTCATTTTTTGTTAATAGATCTGCGAGCTGTCAAGTTTGTGCTTTTGTTTCCCCCACCATTTCTAGAAGATTGTTTTGTAAAGGCAAAAATGTTAAATTAGCAAGAGTTCTGCTTCCAGCTTGTCCAATACGTCTTTTATAGGAATTTTGACTTCAAATTCAGCTGTAGGAGGCACACACGGTGGCAATAAGCTTTCAGTCTAGAAAAAAACTTCTTCCTGAAAGACCTAACGTGGGAAACTCGCCAGCTTTGGGGACTGCATCAGTTACAGAAGTCATTGACAAATACCTTGGCAGCAACGTACGTGGAGATAAAAGAGATATCAATACTATACGTGATCTTTCAGAACAATTTACTAAGGCTCATTGGCTTTTTATATTTTCAGTCTCGAAGAGAAATAAACTACATGCTGCTTCGTATTCTCGTCACAAAGACGAGGCCAAAAATAGTTGAGCGATTTTCACAGGCGCTGTTTTATTCTCTAAATCGTTTACGAGTTTGGGCTCAACAGTATGGAAACATATTTGCTGTGCTGAATAACTTGGCAAAGTCAAACGCGTATCAACGAGCTGAGTCTTAAGCTCTTAATTAATTATTTATCGATTCCCTAGCAACAAAACACAACCGCGAGAAACACACCCATCTCGCTCATTTTCTCCAAGAAAAAAACGCGCTCTAGCTGGTTTACGGGAAAAAGTTCGAGCTGTCGGCTTCTAAACCATACATAAATATCGATGGCACTCTTAACCTTTGTGTTGATATTTCGCTTCAGCGGTAGCAACTCGAGCAGAACAACTTCCTTGAGGAGATAAACATTGAAACTTGAACTCTTAAAATATTTCACACGGGACATTTATACACCAAATGATCGTTTGATTTTGCTCAGCGGGATCAGTGTACAATTGGTTCTCTCTCGGATTTTGGTAAGTTTTTAAATAAGTTTAACTTTTTCAGAAAGGACTCGGCAGACACATTCTTATTCGCACACATGCGCTGACTGCATCTGACTGAAACCTCCACTTCCTGTTTATCACTTGTTTCCACTTCTCTGTTCTTTACGTTTTTCTTTCTTTATTTATTTATCAATTTATTTGTACATTCACTTCAGTTGAGTAAGCAGCTTATATGGTACTTGGTCAACATGGCCCCCGCCTTGAACAAGCACTTTAGCTGGTGTATGGGAAAAATTTCGAGCTGTCGGCTTCTAAACCTTACATGAATATCAATGGTACACTTAACCTTTGCCTTGATATTTCGCTTCAGCGGTAGCAACTCGAGAAGAACAAAACAACTTCCCTGAGGCGGCAAACATTGAAATTTGAACTCTTAAAATATTTCACACAGGATGTTTATACACCAAATGATCATTTGATTTTGCTCAGCGTGATCAGTGTACAATTGGTTCTCTCTCGGATTTTGGTTAGTTTTTTAATAAGCTTAATTTTTACCTTGCATTCCTGTTCGCACACATCCCCTGACTGCATCTGACTGAAACCTCCACTTCTTGTTTATCACTTTTTCCCTTCCTTGTTCTTTATGTTTTTATTTATTTATTTATTTATCAATTTATTGTACAGTTATTTGTACAATCGGCTTCGCTCGTCGATTT